TTGTTGTTGACTGTCCTTCCTGTAATTTCATGGGAAACAGCATGGTTGGATTAACCTTCAGGGGTCCAAAAAATTCTACATTGCAATTTTTGCTGTGTTCCCAGGAAGTGGTTTCATGGAAGGGTGGTAAAACTCCCTCTCCTTGATAGATCCCATAGAGATTTTGAAAGATTTGGGTCCTCCATTGAGGCCTCTTTTGATTCAGGCTTCAATGGTTAATAACACAAAGAAATTTCAAGAATTTTACCAAATTTTTCCACCCAAAAGGGAAAAAATGGTGTCAAAAAAGTTTGTTATAATGGAATTCCCCAGTTTGTTATAACGAGATTTTTATAACATGTAGTCTATAGGCTTTCTGCTGGGACTTGAAAAAAAGTTTGTTATATTGAAAAATTTGTTGTAACGGTATTTGTTGTAACGAGATTTTACTGTAGATGTCACTCGCAGTCGCTCATCAGCATACTTCACGTATCGGCATGTAAAAAAAAAGATCTGCACAATAAGGGAGAACTTGAAGCTTTTATCGTCGGATTTCCAGCGATGGTGCAGAAGTCAGAGTTCCTCTGTTTATAACTGAAATTCTGATAATATAGTTTTAATCACTAATTCTACAGCAGTTGATTCTAGATGATGATTCAGTCTGACATTTTCAAAAGGTTGGGAACTGCAGAGCGTATTTTTCAATGAGTCCGGAATAACCATCAGAAAGAATGTTCCAACTTTATCAACTTGAATTTTCGGTTTTGCAGTTCAAGTTTTACATCAGCATGATCAACTGAATTCTGAAAAACTGTACAAGAGTGAAAGGGTGTCGCAAATCTACACATACAAAATTTTTCGGGAGACCAGGGACAAACTTCTCGTCCGATTTCACAAAAGCGAATTGGATCGCTTTGAAAAAGTAAAATGTTTGCTGGAAATAACCACGTAAAGAACCGGAAAAATAAACATCACGCAGAAAGCCATTCTATTGCATTAGTTTTTGCAGCAGCAATTACCAAATACAGTATTGGTAAATACGAGCATAAATATTTGGCCATGCGCTGGAGAATTTTGTTTTGTGTTGCAAAATGAACCACTCCGGAATTTGTTAATTCGTACTTAGTATAAATAAAAAAGACGCCCTGAACTTATTTCTTACCGCCATCCTATGTTCTTTTGTCGCGTTGAACGGAACTTTACTTCGGTTTACAAACTCATACCCTACTGCTATCGAGGACTCTGTAAAGCAGGACAATATCTATTCCATAGTTCTCCACTAGCGTCATCTGAAAAAAAATATCGGAATCCATATTATAAAATACAAAAATATATAAACAAGCACCTGAGAAAAAAAAACTCGCCTAATTTGATTTCCAGGTAGTCAAAAATACATTCGTTTGTAGCGGCCGATTCTGGCTCCAAATCAAAGAAGGTGAATGAAATTTTAACGATCGCAGCAGGAGAAGAAGAATAAGCCGAGTTGGCAGAGTAACTCCACACGCAATCCGTTAAGTTCGTGTAGTTTCCACCAGCTTCGAAATTTGGAGATGTGATGACACCTCGAGAACCACTGATCAACTGTTCTCCACAATCTAAAACAAAGAATTTCAGCACTTGAGACAGTCGGAGGAAACTGCAACGAACAGGAACTCCTTCATGTGATGAGACACAATATCGCATCGCAGTGAATATAATGCCTACTTTTTTCGGCAAAAAGCAGCCAACATGAACTGCTTTGTTGAGAAAATGGTGTAAATATTATTTTTAGTGTACAGTTACTTAGATCACTGCATTTATTCCTCGAATCGAAGTCATTGGAACTCTCAACCTCCTGTATTTAAAAAGCAGCCAACATGAACTGCTTTGTTGAGAAAATGGTGTAAATATTATTTTTAGTGTACAGTTACTTAGATCACTGCATTTATTCCTCGAATCGAAGTCATTGGAACTCTCAACCTCCTGTATTTAAAAAAAAACTTCAACCTCTTTTATCACAATTCGGAGCATTTATTGGTCAGGAAATGATCAAAAATTATCCTGCTAAAATTTCGTCCACTCCAAAAATGAAAAAGGTTCTATAAACGGAAATGCGACCAACAAAATGGCCTTGCCTTCTTCAAGCCAATGCTGTAAGAGGGAAAAGTTACACATCACTTCACGCTCCGATATTTTATTCACCAGCAAAGTCGGTAGTTGTGTACGTCGCTCGGAATCCTCGATAGTTTCCGATACCATTCGTAACAAAGAACAGGACCAATCTGCTTGAATTCGATCGAATCGGTCCCGGATCAGAAGCTCCGCAATATCTGATAATCCGAGGATTTCCTGTCGGCCCCAGCGGTATAAACGGCTCATCCCTAAAAAGCAGCCAACATGAACTGCTTTGTTGAGAAAATGGTGTAAATATTATTTTTAGTGTACAGTTACTTAGATCACTGCATTTATTCCTCGAATCGAAGTCATTGGAACTCTCAACCTCCTGTATTAAAAAAAAACTTCAACCTCTTTTATCACAATTCGGAGCATGTATTGGTCAGGAAATGATCAAAAATTATCCTGCTAAAATTTCGTCCAACTCCAAAAATGAAAAAGGTTCTATAAACGGAAATGCGACCAACAAAATGGCCTTGCCTTCTTCAAGCCAATGCTGTAAGAAGGAAAAGTTACACATCACTTCACGCTCCGATATTTTATTCACCAGCAAAGTCGGTAGTTGTGTACGTCGCTCGGAATCCTCGATAGTTTCCGATGCCATTCGTAACAAAGAACAGGACCAATCTGCTTGAATTCGATCGAATCGGTCCCGGATCAGAAGCTCCGCAATATCTGATAATCCGAGGATTTCCTGTCGGCCCCAGCGGTATAAACGGCTCATCCCTCAAGCCTTCACCTTGCTGGGCCTACGAAACCAAATTGAGCTTAAATTTAGGAAACTATGTTTAATGAAGTCTTTCAAGTGGATGGTTTAAATTTTGCACGAGGAAAATCGTAAAATCCATTTGACGACCATAATCACCTACATCGGCATCACAACAGAAGCAAAGCAACATGAGTTTCCTTGCTACGGGAGAACAGATGTCGCTCGAACGCATAAAAAAATCCCCATTACCCGAAATCGGGGATCAGTAGGAGTTTCACTATCCTCTGACAGAAAACGGTAATGATCGGCCGGAAACTCACGAATATGTAGTTTGATGCACAACTGTAAGGTCCCACGCCATTCCGATTGAATCCAACATCGAAGTCATTGAAGTTCACCGTAACTTTACGGCCATATGGCGCTCGAATGATATATCTACACATTCTTCTGTGAGGATAAGGATTCGGATACAACGGCGAAGTGAATTCTCCAGTGTCTCCCGAGTACTCTCCATCACAACCTGAACCAGGAATAATCACATTTTTTTTTACAAAATGCACTGGACATATGAGCCCATCGAAATAAATTTTCAATTTCTTCCTTCGTGCTGAACAAAGAAATAATATTTAGTCGGAATAACACGATACATTTGATGCTTCGTACAGCCACACACGGGGGTTGTCCCAGTTACACGTGACCTCTGATATTTTGAGAACAGGACTTACAGGAATGACGGTAAAAAAAAGAAAAGAAAAAAAGGAATCGACATAGCCCATCATGTTCTTCGGTTGTGGGATATTTTTCGGATTATCGAATAAGTTTTTCAGTTTACTGCATGATGAAAAGTATGAAAAGTGCAAGTAAAAACTTTTCAGTTTCAGACAGAGTTCTTGTCCACCCATGTCAGAGGTCCATACAAATTTGCCCGGCTTACTAAAAAAATTGAATTTTGCTGTTGTAAGCATTATCTAAAAAATGTAGGAAGACAATGGGCAAAACAACAAAAAATTTAAATATTTTTTGCTGGGCGAACAAAATTTTCAGCCCCCTGTGTCATGGGTGAAGAACTCTGGCTGTACCTGGAAAGTTTTCACTTATCATCATGCAGTAAATTGAAAAACTTAAAAAAAATCCCAGACTATGTCATGATTTCTTTCTTTAAATCACACCTACGTTAAAAATGTCATAGTTCGCGTCCGACTGGGACAACCCTCGTAAATACGATTTGGGGCTCGATCCCGTAAAAAGACAATCCCTTTTTTAAACGGTCCGGAGGTATATATAACGTACTTGAATTCAGTGCAGCCAATTTATAAAACCCAACTCACCATCCAGACTGGCATTAAAACGAATTCTGAACTTCGGCGTGTCAATGAATCGAGCTGCTTCCGGCCCAGAAGTGAACGTCAAGTGCGCAGTATTTGATGACAACTCGTACGTAGCTCCAGTCGAATTCCCGCAGAAATACTGCTCATCAATCGGCAACCCTGCAAAAATTACGAATATCCGAAGTGGGTGACTATAAAGAAAATGCAACGGAAGCATATTCGACTACATTCGTCAGACCACATTTTTTTTAGCAGCAACATCACATCCAGAGCATTCTTGATGCGCATGTTTCCGAAATAAAATGCTTTCAAATCGAAACTATGCTGAAATTTAAAAAAAGCAGCCACAATTTCTTGCCGAAAATTTAATTTCCTCGAATATCTCCCCCATCCACCTAAAATTGCAGAAATACCGCGGAAACTCAATTAAATTCCTCACTACGATTTACCGTATTTCCTCGAATACCAAGCGCACCTTTTTTATTCAAATTTGAGAGGAAAAAGGGGGTATACATGCATCACAGATGCTGGGTATGAATTTTTCGAAAAGTTTTAGAAATTTAGGCATTACACCCGATTCCTACGCTAATTTTGGACCAGTTTACGAAAAAAACATATTTCAATGGAAACGAGTGAAAATTAGTCGAATTTATGTTCAATTCATGAATAAATGCAAAGTTAGGTGTTTTTATTTTTGAAATACTGTACTGTGCTTTTAAAGCTACTAAAAACTGGTGCACGTCTGAATCTGATACTCGAGAATAAGATATTATCAACATTTGTCAACTTGAAAATCCAGTGTGCGTCTTACACTCGAGAGCGTGTGGTACTCGAGTATTTAAAAATACTGAAGCCTGATGCAGATTGATTCAATAATAGTGAATATACATTTTGTTTACCTGTAATAGTGTCGTTAAAGCTGTCCCGAATCAACAGCTTGTCAGTTGCAAGCGAGCAATTCGGCGCGGGCGGAAGTCGGAAGTCGTAGAACGTAAAGCTCATGGACCTTCCGGGCAGGACAGTGATGTCCCAATCGCAGACTTCGTTGCCCGGATATCCATTCGGATAATGCGGCGACGCGATGATTCCGGTATTGCCTCTGAATCTCCCGCCGCAATCCGCTATTTTCACAATGGCCTTGAATCCGGAAGCAGTTGATCCTCGTGGAGTTCTTCCGATCCGCGTCAAATACCGGATGAACAGACCGTTGGTTGAGGTTTTGGTGCTTTTCGTCGGCATTTGCGTGCCGCAACGTCGGAAAAGCAGTGGTGAGTAGGATGCACTGCCATCACGAGCTAAAATCCACTCCGAGCGACATCTGGAATTCAATGTAATTACAGCACGGCGATCAATTGTATAACTACACTGAAAAAAATCCCCCGCTGTAGACTAAATATTTGCAAAGTTGCGGATTTAAAATTAAAATAATGAATTAGTGTCGAAGTAAGCGAGACAAGAAAAAAGGGATAAAATTCCTGACAACGTTCGAAAAATCGCAAGCGTTTGATCGATTATTTGTTTTGATTTCCTGAGCTTCCTGGAAATAGAAGTAAAATATAAAAATCTTCAGAACAACGAATATACGAACTGAACAGGTTTTTCTTTCTTTCAAAATTAAAGGGGTAAGAGATGAAAATTCTGGGGTTCAAGCAGAAAAACGATTACCGTTAGATTTTTTTCAAGTCGCCCCAAATTACTTTTCTGCACTCAAACGAACATACCGGCTATAAGAAAAAACATGGATGTGCCCTCAAACAAAAACGCGAACATTTGCTTAATTTTAGCATTGCAAGATGAACTACGGAAGCTTTTTCTCAAGCTACTGTGCTTAAATTAAATTAACCGTTTCCTATGATAATGCTTCAATTTGGATCAGTCAATATTTTTGCACTTTTAATGTTTCACCGTTATCATGTTTTTTTAGCGAAATATTTTCTCAACCGGTAAAATTCCGAACAAAAGTCAGGGGAACCAAGTTATCTTTCTTTCTTCCGGATAATCGAAGATACATAACTTTCATCATAAAAAATGAAGCACACCGTTTTACACCATGTTTCATATTCCAAGTCATGCCACAAGAATTCATCTCATCGAACTATAGATTTTATGCTGGAAACAGGCTTCATGATGGTGATTGAGTAACAAAACTACCAGAAAACATTATTTTGGATGACGAAGAGCCAATTGAAGAGTAAAATGCAGCAGGAATGTAAAAAATTTAGCGCAATACCAACATATATAGCTTTAACAATAATTTTTACAGAACGGGTATTTCGATTAATTACAGGGGCGGATAAAATGTATGTTCTAATAATTGCACATCTCTTCGCTCAAAAGGTCAGCTTACGATCTTCTTTCAGGAGCAGGCATCATTTGAAGGTCTTCCAAATCAAGCTGCACGGATTCACCCGGAGGCGCAAAGAATCTCCATTCGCATTCAGTGTTCCTTTCGGAAGGATTGGGGTAATTCGGAGAAGTGATTTCTTTCATAGGGTCTTGGTCCGTCAAGTAAAAGGTTCCGCCGCAGTTTCCTTCTGGTTCTTGCTGGTAGTACATCTCAAAACCCTTGAAAGAATGCAGGAAGGAAGAAAAATCGATCTTTCAATTTTAATTGAAAAAAATTCCGATGGTAAGACATCAATTTCGCTTAGTCATTCCTTGCCCTCTTTCAATGACAAAACCACAATAACGTAGCTTTGTAATTTACTTCGCCATTGAAGACGTTTCTCTCTTTATTTTTCCTATGGGTCTATTTTTAGCACTGAAAAATACTGTATATTATTTGAATTATAGGTTCAGCTGCTCTTGGTAGCACAAGTGATTCAGGCAAAACGTGTTTGGCATTCAAAGAAAAAGTACAATAGCACCGTAAATGCAGTGAAAAAAACAATTTTAAAATACCGTTACCAAAATAGTTACCATACCAAATTCACGGGAGCCCCGCAAAATATTGGCAAGATTTTACGAGTCCGGAAATTCTTATACCGTACAGAAAATTATCTAAATTTAATCAACGACTTTTCTCCACCATCAGCAGCTCTTTCCCACGCATCAAATATTGTAAGAAGGAACTGGAAAATAAATTTTGGAGAAAATACGGTAAGGCAAACCTGATTCGGTCCTCCGCCACTTGTCTTGTATCTAACCAATAGATAATTGCCCGGTGTTTTCTCAGGCAAATTATCAGGAACCCGTTGCCCACAGTATTGTGCATCTCCCCAGTACGGCGAGTCAACTGAATTTCCTGCTCTCATCTGGAAAAAGAAACACAGTAGAAAAATAAACCCACGCAAATTAACGATAAAAGCAGGCAAAAATTATAATGAATCACTCACCGAAACATACGTGTTTGAACAAGTTGAGGAATATCCAAGATTCACACTGAGGAAACGAACGTGGATTTTTCTCCAAGGCGCAGCTCGAATGAGATATTCACATTCTTGCGGGCCCGGCGAAGAGTTTCCGGGGTATCCAATGTTCTTTATATTTTCGGCCACTTGATCATAAAACCCGCCACATACTACGAACAAAAGGATTCATATCGCATTCATAAATGTTAGAACACTATACAGTATATGCGTATACTCGAGGTTCTCTCAAGTTTTGCGAATCACCAACGAATTTGAATCGAAGGCAAATGAAGCAAATTGGTAGATTTTTACTCATTATTTGCTGGTTCAAAAACTCATCCTGTTGTGTTAAAACAAATGCAGCCGAGAAAACAGCTATGCTTCGAGGAATATTCAACTTTAATTTGTTTTCTTGGGAGCATCAGGAATATGAACACTGAAAATATTTTGAACTGGAATTCTTTAGACGTTGTTTTTATCCATCATTGAGGAAATTTGGTATCCAATGCGTCTATATTCAATCAGGAAATGCGAAATTACCAGTGGAAAAAGTGAGATTGAACCCTTGGTCAACGATTGAATGGTCAGAATTGAAAACGAGTTTCATGATGTGTCCCCGAGAAGTGTATGTTCCACCAGATTGACTCCTCTTGCACAATTTCGCCATCCTGGAATACAGTCCCCGATTATACAGACTCTCTGAAAAAAAAGAAAATCAAGTTCGTCGTTCAGTGAATTTTGGAAGTCATTATAAGAGTCCATGAACGAACGTACCTTGGTAAACTTCGAGATAATCGTACAAACACAAACGATGGCTTTCCAGCTTGAGATCGTTCACTTTCAAAACAATTCGCACATGGGCAGCAGACACAACGAACCACGTGCATTGCTGTGAATTGTTGTAATTCTCCGGATAATTTGGCGATTTAATCGTGGCTGTTCCGGTTTCGTTCATGTAAATTGTACCTCCACAACGACCGACTGGAACAAAATAATATTTTAATCATGAATTTTAGCAAATGGAATAATTAACTGAGTTCTCGGAAACATCCGCAGACAAGCATAAATCGAAATTAACGCATATATATTTTTATTCAAGAATCGAACTTTTGGTTTTCGAACTAAAAAATAAAACGAGTCAAGTGAGCTGCTTCCAGCATTGCCAAAACCACAAAAAAAATTAATCGAAAAAGTGAATATCAAAATTAATCGAAAAAGTGAATATCATTGATTCTCTGCTTTGATTAAGGCATTCTTTGTACAGTATAATGTTGTATATTTGATCTTAGCCACAGCAGCACGTGAAGCCAATTGATAATTTTTGAATGTAATCTGTTAATTTAGCGTGATCAAGTTTTCCTCTTCGGCGAATTTAGAAAACTCACTTCAGATTTTTTTCGTTCTACAGTAACGTATGATAGAAGTACATTAACAAATTGATAACATTCCAAATAGCATCAATGACCTAAAACCAAAAAATAAAATGAAATAGTTGTACAGTAGCTATACATATGAATTAATTCCAAATTTTGTTTACCAACCTCGTGGAGGCAAAGCCATGTTGGTCGCTTCCCAAGAAAATTTGAACTTGGATCCTTCGACGTAATGCCTCGAATAAAATTTAACGAATAACGTGTTTGAGGTCGTTGTGAAAGGAGAAGGAAGCGTGTGTCCACACCAGGCTCCCAATACTCGAGCATCAGCATCAAGTCCATCGAAAAACTATAGAATTCCGGTATAATTTAAAACATCAACTGATATAAATACAGTATAATCATTGATTAGCGAATCTCGTTCAAAGAGAGTCATCAATTCGGGACCCGGAAAAAAACATTCGTTGCCCCGAGAGTTCGAGACACAAAAAACACTGTGGCTAAATATGCTTCAGAAAGCATTTAGAAAATAATTGCCTCTATAAAACGAGATTATATCATCAAGGAACCGACGATGGTAAGCCCAATCAAGACGGTTTTCTCACGTATATGGCGGATTGACACTGTCGAGGTCGTCGCCGGTTTCGGAAAGGGTTTTTCTCTATGTTCATCTCTGTGACAGCGACATGAACGAAGTGGCGCTCAGGAACCGTAATTCTCCAAGTGAATATTCCTCTCGTGGTAAACGCAATCGGGTACATTGGTGACTCCACTTCACCCGACAATCCGGTGATTTCATTTCCATGAACTGCAAGTCATTACAATGAAGAAACTTATCGTAAGAGTACTCAGTAAAAAAATGAAGTACCAAACAGTGATAATTAGCAAAAGTTCCATGGATCTTGAGACCCTGTTGCTTAATTTTCAAGTCATTCAAACCGATGCTAAATTTAAGAAAGCATTTATCTCAGCACAGTACACCTGAAACTCGCTTGTATATACAGGATTGAATGAAAAGAAACACATTTTAAATAGCATTAACTCCACAAAGCACCAAGTACCGCAAATAAAAAAAGTGAATAATATGGCGCGAAATCATATTTTGAACCTAATTATCCTTGACACTATAAATATGACTGTCACATAACTTTGATAAGAGCGTCTTTTATACAAAACAACGCATTTTGCGCAACCATTTATCTGCATTTAGTTCAGATCATGGAATCAAATTGAATTATCTTGAGCGGAATATATTATTCGTTAAAGAATTATGTAGGTTTTTGATCATTTGGATGAGTATAAGCATCATCGGATCACAATATTAATTTTCATTTTGCAGACAAATCTAGAATTATTGACAATATTCACTTCTAAATTGCTCCCAGATAGCGACACAAAAAGTGCATCTTATTGCATTATAGGCAAAAAATTAAATAAGGATAGACTTTCAAAAAATAGGAAAATATAACAAGAATTGCGATTGTGCAGAAATTTTCCACCAATTCTGTCGGCTGAATTGGATTCCCTGAGAAGGGACAAAAGACACCGTATGTGATTTAATTGGCGCGTCTTGGGATGCACCTAAAACTGAGAATAATCTCCTTGGCAGAGCAGCAAACAAAAGAGGATCAATTGGGAACTTGCCAACAGAATAAAATCAACCCCACCCTCGGGAAATGACAGATCTCTTGTCTCTCAAAAATTGGGGTCAAATAACCTTTTTGTCAGGACCAAAAAGGGGGGCCCCAGATGTGACCAGCTGATGGCCAATTTTGTCATTTGGCATTCCAAAAACCATTTGTTGTCCCAGAAATTTTAAGATGTACGCTGTCACAAAACAGCATCAAACATGCACTTTCAAAAACTTTGAACCTGATAAGGTCTCCCTAGAATATCTGCACAACCTTGTAAATGTGAAAAACACCCAGTTTTTGGGAAAACATAACCCTAAAAATGCTTGCTTTAAATTATCAAGTTAAAAGTTGAAAACACCAGCACCTGGTGTTTTCAAACTCAAAACCAAACACCAGGGTCTCTCCCCCTTTTTTGCTTGCATAACAAAGCCCCCTCCGCCAAATTTTTGCATAGAAACCCCAAATTTTTCAAACAAGCACACAGTTGCAAAACCTTGTTTGAAGTGTATGGATTGTGTTGAAATTCCTTTTCCTGAAAGACCTTGTATACGTGTCTGTGATATTGCATCTTGTGTGTGAAATTGGTATACTGATTGAAAGTGTTGGATTTGCCTAGATCTGAACAAAGGTTTGACCTTTTGGGAGAGAATCCCTGGTCTGTTTGAGCACTGGCCATTTGCTGTGTTTTACTCCATAATTTTTCTTATTACAGTTGAACCTCTCTTAAGTCAAATACCTCCCTAACTCAAATTTTTTTCAAGTCTCTGTCAGGATTCCCTTAGAGACAATGCCTTGAAAACGTCCCTAACTCAAACTATAGTTCTCTCAAACCTCTGTAAGTTAAATTTTCTGAGGCCTTTAGGTTGTTTTTTTTCCTTGAAATAGGAAAGAGAAAATCAATAAAACAAATGATTTTATTCATCTTGAATTGAAGTAAAAGACTAATTCAACAAATGAACCCCTGCCTCCAAGTTCAGCAAGCTTTAAACTCATTACAAAACAAGTTTAGGCCCAGAATATCCTCATCTAGAATTTCCCACTATTTTTTCCTTTTTCTTTAAAGCAAACATGCTTGTTTCCTTTAATCAAAACCTTACTAAGCCTCAATTTTCTCCTGGTCCCTAGAAATTCGACTGAGAGGTTCTGACTTCTCTCCTGACATTTCCTTTCATTAAAATTGTGTACCATTACAATCTTCATATGAAGGTGTACGGCTTGACAATTCTTTTACCTGTATAAAACCATATACAGCAATCATGACTCTGCAAAAAATCAGTTTTGCGACTGACGGCGATGCAATTGAAATCATGCAATAAAAGAGGAATACTGTAATTAACTTACGCAAAGAATAGTGAGCAACAAATCCTGGTGCCACGGAAACATTGCCAGATCTGAACTTGATCCACAAAGCTTCAGCGGCAGTAAGATTATTCGGCATACTAGTACCACATGCGTGTGCCATCAGTTCTCCCATCGCATTGGTCTTCCTCACTTCGACGTAATCCGTATTACAATGTTCGGTTCTCGTCAAAGCAAAGCTTTCGAACGACATTGTTACTCTATTTCCTGTACATAAAATCGATTTTTTTAAGCTCCTGGAATGAACGAAGAGTTATCAATATCGTAATTGAGATTCTACGATTAATCTTAATTAAGAATAAGAAAAAGGGCCGTTTGCCGCGAACAGGATCAATTTCAATTAGTCCGCGTTTTTCAGAACAAATAATGTTGGAAACTATACAATTTGAGAAAAAATATTGTAAATACATTAAATAAGTGTAAAAGAAAGACAGATTTCCATTGTTCATGTTTGAAAAAAATATAACTCAAAATAGAGCATTAAAAAAAAAGGGAAAAAAAATGTTGAAAATTTCATTCTTGTGCTGCTACCTTTCGATGCCTTCAATGTCCACACGCATTCGACAACCAGAGGATAATTGTTCGGATAGCCGGGACTCGCAATTGTTCCGTGTTCCGAAATCAACACTCCACCACAAGCTGCAATGCCATAATTAAGAACCCATGTAGTTGCATATGTACAGTTCTGAGAGTCGTACCTCAAACGGAATGCGCACTCCAATTTTAGTGACTGAAAAACTGCAATATTTGAAGAATGAGAGAGTCAGCAAAATTTGAATATGAACTCAAACTAAATTTAATCAATTTTCGATGGTTTCAAGTAAAAAAAAATTCCTGTCGGAATTGGAATGAACGAAGAGTTCTGAATTTTGCATTAGAATGGAGTTTGACGCATCACCTAGACTTGAAAAATTTTCGAAATTTTATCCCCGCGCATGCTTTCTGCCTTCAATTTGGAGGTAAAAGTTTGTATGGGGTACTTGAGTGATTACGGATACCACGAAAAAAAAAATTGTATGCATCAGGAAATAGATTTTACCCGTGTCCGCTACGGAATAAGCAGCTGCGAAACCCACGCCGTGCCCCCAGCGCCGGCCGTGCAAATGCACGAGCATGGAGGAACCCTGCGACGTGATTGGCGGGGGGACCCGAGTTGAGCAAAACCGGCCCATCGAAGATTGGTCTTCCATGCTCGATCCGTCCCACACCTCAACGTAGTGATACGTGCAGTTGTCGGTGAGGTTGGCTCTCCAGGGTGCCCAACGCCGACCCAGGTCGATGTGCGTGAACATGAGGGTCACTCTTTCCGTCGGCCTGGGTGCTTCCAAGATCCACGTGCAATTCGTATTCACTGCACGCGAATAAAAATGCAAAAAAGGCAGGAGAGTTGAAAATTACCGTATACACTATTTACAAATTTATTTTTTGCAGTCCACTAATTTTTTCTCGCCCTTAAAATTGCTCCTCTCAAAAACGCGCGTGAATATACAGCATAACTTGAAACTTTGTTGGGTATACAATCAAACCTCTTTAAAAGTCAAATTTCAAGGGATCAGCAAAAAAATTGAGTTAGTTGGGACAAAACTAGCTTTTTTGGAACACAGTAAAAGTGTTCAGGAATTGTAATTGGTTATATCCTCAGTTTTAAATTGATTCATAAATGAGTTGAGAGGATGTTGAACTTGGAGGTAGTGGTTCATTTGCCCAATTAGTCTTTCCTTTCCTCTCAAAGCACATCAAGTTCATTGCTTCATTCATTGATTCAAGTTCATTCATTGCTTGTCTCTTTTTCCTGTGCCAATAAAAGAAAAGTCAAAAAGCCGCAGATATTCGATTTATGGAGGTTTGAGAGGGAAAGGTTTTGAGTTAGGAAGGTTTTTAATGTATTACTCATAAGGGAAATCAGAGAGGGACTTGAAAAAAAATTTGACTACTGTACAGGGAGAGGTTTGAGTTATCGAGGTTCAACTGCTTAAGCTCAAATTTTCTTTTTACTTACACGGGTAGAAATTAGGATAAAATGGAGACGTAAGAACTCCTCCGTCATCCACCTTGATTCTCGCTCCGCAGCCCTGTGATAAAAAAAATTGTCAGCTTTAATCATCATTATGGTTCTGTTATTTTTCAACGTTCGAGTTTTACCAAAAATCAGACGTTGGTTCAACACGAATTATTGATCTAAATACTGGCATCTTAATTTAGCCTAAACTTTATACTGTATCTACCGGAAATTTATTCTTTTATGATCGGAGGAAGTTTAAAAAACCTACATGAGAAAAAAGTTCCCAGTATCAAGAAACGACACTCAGGACGAAAATCGGTGACAGCAAACAATTCCTCACGCAACTTATTTACACATTTTGGCAAAAGCTCTTTACACGAAAAATTCTTTCACGTTGACGTCAACAAAGCTGACGAAAAGAATCAAAATCACGTACGTACGCGTCATTGAAATTGTTCCCCAAAGCAACAATACAATAACAGAATAGCTTTGGAATGCAAAAAAAACTGATCGAATCTTCTGTTCCACATCCTTGCGTAAAAGTCTGAATAATACGTTGCTTCAATATTCAAGGAAAATATCAAACCGCAAAATAAGACGCAGCGAATCCGCGCCCAGTCAAAGATCCATCAGCTACAAGCCGAACAGTGACTTGATTCCCAGTAGCTTGGAAAGGATTGCCTTCGGGCAAAGACGATCCGCAAAATTGTCCCAATAACGGAGAATTCGAATCTGGTCCGTCGTAAATTGCCACGTAGTCATAAGAACAGTTCCTGTGCGCCTCAACGTCGAAATCCGTGAAGTTCAACACTGCCACGTGGTTCTCGTCCACAGCTATAAAAGTTTGAGATTACTGTACAGTATAATAATCTTTTAAAATTTGCATGAGTTTCTCTAGAGAAAATTGGAACAGCTATAATTACTAAATGCTCATTTTCTTCAGCTTCTGATATAGTCGAATGTCTCATTCAAGTCGAAATTCAGAAAGGGACCAGCGAAAAATTTATAGTCACGGAAACAAACATTTTTATTAATGGAGAGAACAGAATTACACGAAACTTTAATTGGCAATTTTCTGGGCCTTCAATCGCTTCTTAAATGATTTGACTTAATTGAGTTCACAGGATGCTGAACTTGGAGGCAAGGGTTCATTTTTCCAATTATTCTTACACTTCCTCTCGAAATGCACCAAGTTAAATTTTCATTGCTTCTATACAGTATTTCATATGCCAATAAAATAATATGGCCCAAAATGCCTTTAGAAATTTCGAGTCAGAGGGAGGTTCGTAATGCATTGCTCTTCAGGGAATTCGGGCAGGGACTTGGGAAAAAATTGACATGAGGATGTTCGAGTTATTGAGGCGTTCAACTGCATTAAGATACTGCCAGGACATCAATTATGTGACGCACATTAATTGTAATGCCCTCCAGATGAATTTCGGGCTTTTAATTTTCAGTTCTCTGCGTTTATTTCGATATTTTTGAAGTATACTAGCTATCAGTTATCTGGAAATCCGAGCTACACAATAATCAGGTCTATAACATACCTAGCTCGTCTTTTGTGGTCAAAAAAATATTGCACGTAACATTTGCATTCAAAATAAACCAAGACTCACTTATTGTCCAAAAACAATCCAAAGAGGAATCATACGTTCCCGATCCATAATTGGGAGAATGAATGGAGCCCATGTTGTTTCTTATTCGGGCACCGCATCCACCCGAGTCCAAACTGTCGAAGGTCAAGTAAAAACCTGTACCCGTCACAGAAATATCCGTTTCCAGAACAATGAACATCTCGTTTCCCATAGTTTGAACTGTTCTTGGGCTGTTGATCTGATGGCACTGCTCCATGAGAAGCGGCGAATTCGAGTCGGGGCCCCCGTAAATCCGCAGAGAATCATAGACACAACTGTTTTTTTTTTAAGAAAAATATTTCAATTTTAATAAAAACACGGATACACTCGTTTGACCTGTTCTTCAGAAAGTTCTGCATTGAACCAATAAGTGGATCTTGGAACTAAGTTGCACCCTTTCGAAATATATTACACGGAGTCACAAAATTCAGAGAATAACGAAGCAAGAATGCTTTTCGACATAATTAGGATGTTTTAGAAATTGTTCCTAATAGTTTTCCTAAAAAAAAAATTATCTGAGTTCGTCTTACGTGGTCATAGACGTAGATCCCTCGATATCCAGATTATGTATAGTGAGATTGATGGCGCTTCCTGGGTCAGTGATGATATGCCAGAAACAATCAGTGTTATGGGGATATGTTCTTGGGTAATTCGGAGAAGTGATCGAACCCCTCGGTCTTCTTATCACACCTCCACACGGTCCTAAGTGAAATGAACATCAACAAGTCATTCATTTACTGTGAAGATGTTCTCAAAAGTATTGCTGTACAGTATATACATTCAATAGAGGTGTTGTTTCGTTAAGAATAACAGATTAGGTACGACGGTTTCAAATGTGCTGGGTCTACTGAAAATATGTCATGAGCTTCACTTTAAAATTAATTATACAGTACTGCATTAAAATAAAACGCTTCTTCAGAAACTAAAAAATGCCCCTTTAATCGGAATGCCAACAGTTGAAGAAAAGACTGAAATTTGGCGTTGATAATGAAAAAGCTTTCTTTTTTCCGATTTTTACAGCTGCCCATAAAAAAGAGAAATAATTTTCTACAGCATTATTGCAAACTGAAAATTATTCGACGGTCGAAAATTTCGCCTCGCAACCTTTTCCTCCATTTCTGAAACACTTGTGTCGCGAATATTTCAACGGATACATTAAATTCGATACGCTAGCTTTGAAGAACCCGAATTCCNCCAGATTATGTATGGTGAGATTGATGGCGCTTCCTGGGTCAGTGATGATATGCCAGAAACAATCAGTGTTATGGGGATATGTTCTTGGGTAATTCGGAGAAGTGATCGAACCCCTCGGTCTTCTTATCACACCTCCACACGGTCCTATATGAAATGAACATCAGCAAGTCATTCATTTACTGTGAAGATGTTCTCAAAAGTATTGCTGTACAGTATATACATTCAATAGAGGTGTTGTTTCGTTGAGAATAACAGATCAGGTACGACGGTTTCAAAAGTGCTGGGTCAACTGAAAATATGTCATGAGCTTCACTTTAAAATTAATTATACAGTACTGCATTAAAATAAAACGCTTCTTCAGAAACTAAAAAATGCCCCTCTAATCGGAATGCCAACAGTTGAAGAAAAGACTGAAATTTGGCGTTAATAATGAAAAAGCTTCCTTTTTCCGATTTTTACAGCTGCCCATAAATAAGATAAATAATTTTCTACAGCATTATTGCAAAGTGCAAATTATTCGACGGTCGAAAATTTCGCCTCGCAACCTTTTCCTCCATTTCTGAAACAATTGGTCAACACCAAATTGAAAAAATGCACGATAAGTGAGGCATAGTGGTTTTTCTCGGTATTTTGAAGGAGAGTCTTAGAGCATTTTAAGTTTTTCGGTCTATTTTGATCGGGAGGTTAGGGATTTTTAAACTTGGGTGAAGATTGAAAGGGCATGAAAATGGAAAAAGTATCTCTTTCGAATGATAGATCGTGAGTTTTCGGAGAAATCCGAGAAATTTTCTCGCGAATTTTCTTCTATACATTTCCAATATGACTTTTATGATGGCTATTCAACCCGAGCCGATTCAAAAATGTATCGAAGAAATGTAAGGGCATTTTCATTTCGGCTTCCCGATTCACACGCATACACTTCAGGAATTGAACACGTTTTACGCGTCGGCATTGAAAATTATATCTTTTTCCCAAGCAGTGGACCCCTTACGGTAAGCTCAGACTTGGGTAACATCCGTTCTGACATTAGTCTCCACTTCAAGTGGTATTGACATAGCGATCACTTAGCTATGCGACATCCTTGTCCTTATTTCACGCCACACCAACGTCCAACTTCTCTGGAAACATTTCGACCGTTTTCTACCTTCAGTTCCGTGAACTTCAGAAGAGATCAGAAAATATGTTTAAAAAATAAAAATGCAGCATTTTTTTGTGTGTCCGTCACAAAAACTCACACTAGCATAATCATATTGGCAGTGGCCGAGTGCGTGAGGATCTTCAATCGATAAATGCGAGAAGCACTCTTATTCTAACAACGGGGAGCCTCGGGACTATTAGGTTCTTGTCAATGCTAACACACCTATGCCAGCACCCTTTAAGCCTGAAAGTTAGTGAGGAGGCTCAGGAGCAAGCTCGGTTTGCAACAGACAAACTTCAAAATGAAAAAAGAAAGAATATCTATCAAACTCAAGACCCTTTTCAAACAAAAAATGCAACAATACGGTGTCCAATAAGTTAATTCGCAACGATTTACGGTATGTCCAATCTTGATAAATTGTTCTTCACAGTCATGATAATAGAGTCTATTTTAGTGCAGGTAGATGTCACTCGCAAATATTGCAGCATTTCAACTTCACGCTGAGTCATTTGCCGGAGAAAATGAAACAAACGGTTAATTGCGTTTTGGTTTGCGTCTTTACAAACGAATGAGGTTGTTGCTTGAATGGCAAATTTTCGAAGAACTATATTTTTTATCACGAATTTCAGTGAAACACTGCGTGACTTTTAAATCGCGATCTGGTTTGTGTTACTCAAAACTAATGAGAAAATTTGTTTCACGCTTGAATTGAATATTTTCGTCCACAAATATTATTAATCACGAATTCCGGAAAAACACTGAGTGACTTGATCCTTTAAAAAAGTTGTCGACGTTTCCAGTGTAAATCGAATTTTGTGACATCTCAAATAAACTCACCAGTCTCGTAAGACATCTTGAAGCCTCTTCCTTCACCAGCAATCCGAGACCGATAAATCACAGTCAAAGCATTCGTATCAATCACTATTGGAGCAGGAGTCGAAGAGCCACAGAATTTTCCAGCAACAGGAGACCGAATATTTGGACCTTTCAGCAACTGCAGCGAAAAATTTACACTTTAAAACATATAACCAAAGAAACGGCTTTCAAATATTTTTGTTATGTATAAACCTGAACGAAGTTGAATGCGCAGTATCGGTTTCCAGAATTTGCGTCGATGTCCAAATCAGAAAACCTGATGGCAATTTTAGATCCATGGCTAATCTGGATTTTGTAAACGCATGTTCCCACGTGGCCAAATGGCATCGGGTAATTTGGCGAGGCTATTTCTCCTTCCGCTGACGTAAGCGTACCTCCGCAACCTGGAGAAGAAATTTTAGAGTAGAAATTATTGTCTCCGTTCATGAAAAATTTCCCATTGCAAGGAAATCATTCGACGTGATTTATAGTTTTGAAGAGCATTAACAGAAAGCTCGAGTTCTGGTCAATGAATGTTTACAATAGTGAACTCCACGAGTATACTTATTAATTTTCGGGGTGGTCAAAATCTAACAAAAAATACATGTTTTTGAGAATAATTCACACGACTCCCAAAGTGATGCTTTCAAATTTACGAAGGAAACTTCTCATACCCCCCCCCCCCCATACTTTTGAATGATTGATGACAGGCAAGTACAGCATACAAATTGAAAACGTTATCGCCAATTTCATTCAGGTAATCAGGTCACAGGAAATATGTTTATCTAACTCTTGTCGCAATTCAACACATTTGTCCCACATGAAAAGAAAGAAAAATATAGATACACAGAATATTTCCCATGTTGCCTCACCAGTTGCAACAGCATTCCAAGTTATAAAAAATCCGGGTCCCGACTGCGAATCGTCCGTTTTCAGTCTCAAGTAAAATTTGTTCGAGTGTCCAGGAATGCGCTGATTCGCAAGCTGAGTGCCACAAAATTTGCCAATAAGCGGCGAATACACAGTTCCGCCATTCCTGATCTCCAAGAAGTCGTATTCGCAATTCTGATGCGCTTCTATCTCGAAATCCGTGAAGTTGAGGTAAACCTGACGCCCCGGGGGTGCGACGATAGTCCAGACACATTCCCTGTTGTGGGGATAACCGTAGGGGTACCCTGGAGACCGGATCATTCCCGTTTCCGAGTAAAATTCTCCTCCACATACTAAAAATGATAAAAAAAATCGCCTTTCAAAATGTACCTCGATACATCTTTCAATCCAAGAAGTCTAAGACGGAAAAATCCCGATGTATAGAGAGCAGTTGCTGATGCTGCCAGAATATCACTTCTCACGAATAAAATTAAGAAAACTTCTTCGCGGACCAACATGAATACCCAAAATCCAGAAATTTTACGAACGAGTAAAAGCGACCGCACATCAAAAATTAAATCTAACAGAAAACGAATAATGGATTGATTGGAATCTGCTTCAATCGCTCGTTTTTAGAAGAATTTTTACTCGATCGAACTCCACAAGCATAGAAACGTCTTTACTCTAATATAAGACGTTATCCATTAAAACACCCTTCATACCTCTATAACTTTTCAACAATTTTGACTTGGAAAATTGTAAAAGATACTGTAGAGCTCAATTTTCACATCATCAGATGAGCTTTTCATCCTTAAGATAACTTTTGAAAACGAATCGGAGCACACAAATATGTATCGTCTCATAATATTTGAGTAAATGCAGTGTTCACTAGAAGCCCAGCGTGAATAATGTGCAATTAAAAAATGATCGATCCGGATCGATGAAAATCATTTGTGTTACGATCATCGACGACTACCGGTTTAAAATCTTCAAAAATAAATATATACAGCAGTTTAATACCAAATGTACAACAAATCGGAAAATGGCATTTCAAGTTTCCTTTCAATATAATGGGGGGCGCTGATCTTATAAAAAGTAGAACTATAGAAAAATTCATCTCGAAAAAATAGTTCGTAAAACAATTATGAAATCGTCGTTACACGCTGAAAATGTCCATTAAATAGTTGAAAAGATACAAGTGGACTCATCTCCACAATGATTTTCTCTGCACGCCTAATTTTTTTGGTCCAGTATGGTTCCCAACAGCAGAATACTCTCTACAACGAATTATTTTCTGGTCTATTGGATTTCGTTGTAGTGAGAGAGTCCACCAATACATAATGTAGAAAATCAGTTCGCAATGTTCATTACAAGCATGCATACACGAACAATTCCTCCTTCACGTGGAATAATAATCTAGACTGAGTATATATTGAATGATTGCAGAATATAAATAAAAATATATCCCATATGGCTCCTCACCACTGGACGCATTGAGCATTACATAAGTGGCTGAAAATCCGTTCGCAGCTACGGAACCATCAGCGTGGAACGTGACGATCAAATTGTTATCCATGGAGGTGATGACCGGTGGGATCGCATTGCCGCAATAGCGCCCAACGCGGCCCCCCAGGCCCGGGATCTGAGTCGTGTCGTTTACGTCCACGTAATCGTATTCGCAATCCAAGTGGTCTTCTAAAGTGAACTCGTGAAACGAGAGTCGCACCACGAAACCCGGGGGAGCTGAGATGATGTAGTTGCAAGTGATCCCGTGCGGGTATTCGTTCGGGTGTCCGGGTGAAGTCAGTGTGCCTTGACGTTCTTTGAAAATCCCTCCGCATTCTGAGGTTGAAAAAAGACAATAGGAAATCTATTCCGAGCCTTTTCCCCCTTTTGTGTGCTCTGATACAATAACAATAACACCCACAAAGTTATCGAATTTGACGTAACCTAAATTTATACAGTACATTCAAGCTGAATACTAAATCAGTCAGTACGAAACCTGGCAGTACAGTACAGTAAAGGAAAGAGGAAACGATTCAGAAATCCCGCCTAAACGTTACGCGTCAATTCAGAAAATCGGATTCAACGTATATAACGTAGATTACTTAGAGAATAAAAATAAAATCGAATCTTGAATTTTACTGGAATCCTGATCGTCAAAAAAGAAACATTTCTACATTTGAGTTTAATTTTCATTCACAAGAAAATTAAAAGAAAGAATCACACACGGATGTGAATCTCAGAATAATTTCCCTAGCAAGAACACGTGTTCATCGACAATTCCATCAGTCCTGAACATAAGGTAAAGATTCAATACAATCACCCAAAAAATGATCTAATTTGACGTAACAGAAATGTATACATTCAACCTGAAAACTAAAAGAGCATGTATATAAGCCTGGATATACTGTATATACAGTATAGGAAACGATACAGGATTTCAGCCGAAACTCTACGCAATATTTAAGAAAATTGGATTCAACTTATAAAGCGTTGAATAAGCGAAAATGAAAATATAATGTAATCTTAAATTTTACTGGATTCCCAATCGCCAAAAAAGGAGCATCGAACATTACTTCTATATTGAAGTTCAATTTTTAAACGCACAAACAAGCAAGAGAAAGAAACACATACGGATATCGATCGCAGAATAATTTGCCAAGAATCCGTGATTTGCGACACTTCCATCAGTCCTGAACATAACGTAAAGATAATTTGCAGAGGAAATAATTGGATCCGGAGTTTCGTCTGGTCCTCCGCAGAACTTTCCTATCAACGGCGAAGTCGGCAAATCTCCATCACGGATCTATATAAACGATCGCATCCAAGAAAATGACGCATAAAAAAAATGGATTGCTATGTGAACGCAAAGGGGGCAATTTTATTTTTACCTCCAGGAAGTCATAACCGCATCGGGAGTGAGATTCAATGTCGAAGGCAAGAAACTGCAATCGTATCGCTTTACCAGGNACACGAACAATTCCTCCTTCACGTGGAATAATAATCTAGACTGAGTATATATTGAATGATTGCAGAATATAAATAAAAATATATCCCATATGGCTCCTCACCACTGGACGCATTGAGCATTACATAAGTGGCTGAAAATCCGTTCGCAGCTACGGAACCATCAGCGTGGAACGTGACGATCAAATTGTTATCCATGGACGTGATGACCGGTGGGATCGCATTGCCGCAATAGCGCCCAACGCGGCCCCCCAGGCCCGGGATCTGAGTCGTGTCGTTCACGTCCACGTAATCGTATTCGCAATCCAAGTGGTCTTCTAAAGTGAACTCGTGAAACGAGAGTCGCACCACGAAACCCGGGGGAGCTGAGATGATGTAGTTGCAAGTGATCCCGTGCGGGTATTCGTTCGGGTGTCCGGGTGAAGTCAGTGTGCCTTGACGTTCTTTGAAAATCCCTCCGCATTCTGAGGTTAAAAAAAGACAATAGGAAATCTATTCCGAGCCTTTTCCCCTTTTTGTGTGCTCTGATACAATAACAATAACACCCACAAAGTTATCGAATTTGACGTAACCTAAATTTATACAGTACATTCAAGCTGAATACTAAATCAGTCAGTACGAAACCTGGCAGTACAGTACAGTACAGGAAAGAGGAAACGATTCAGAAATCCCGCCTAAACGTTACGCGTCAATTCAGAAAATCGGATTCAACGTATATAACGTAGATTACTTAGAGAATGAAAAATAAAATCGAATCTTGAATTTTACTGGAATCCTGATCGTCAAAAAAGAAACATTTCTACATTTGAGTTTAATTTTCATTCACAATAAAATTAAAAGAAAAAATCACACACGGATGTGAATCTCAGAATAATTTCCCTAGCAAGAACACGTGTTCATCGACAATTCCATCAGTCCTGAACATAAGGTAAAGATTCAATACAATCACCCTAAAAATGATCTAATTTGACGTAACAGAAATGTATACATTCAACCAGAAAACTAAAACAGCATGTATATAAGCCTGGATATACTGTATACAATACAGAATAGGAAACGATACAGGATTTCAGACGAAACTTTACGCAATAATTAAGAAAATTGGATTCAACTTATAAAGCGTTGAATAAGCGAAAATGAAAATACTGTATAATGTAATCTTAAATTTTACTTGATTCCCAATCGTGAAAAAAGGAGCATCGAATATTACTTTTATATTAAAGTTCAATTTTTAAACGCACGAACAACTACGAGAAAGAAACACATACGGATATCGATCGCAGAATAATTTGCCAAGAATCCGTGATTTGCGACACTTCCATCAGTCCTGAACATAACGTAAAGATAATTTGCTGAGGAAATAATTGGATCCGGAGTTTCGTCTGGTCCTCCGCAGAACTTTCCTATCAACGGCGAAGTCGGCAAATCTCCATCACGGATCTATATAAACGATCGCATCCAAGAAAAATGACGCATACTTTTTTTACCTAACGATACACTTGCGTTTCCCCCGTTAAAATAAAAATGGAGGTCCTTCAGTATTGGCGTAGCCCTCACTCTAAGTTACAGCTTCCGTTCTTTGACGTTAGCATAGCGAAATGGTCCAGGCAAAGCGATGACATAATCGCATTCTTTGTCGTGTGGATACGGATCAGGATGATACGGCGATTTAAGCACGCCAGTTTCGCTTCGGAAATCGCCACCACAAACTGAAAGCAAAAAACAGTTATTCTTTACTCATGAAACTGATTCCGAGTAAAAACATAAAAGCGAAAGATAATTACGTGTCGAATATTGTGCTCTGAATCCAGTGTAACTTATTGACTGATCAGCATGGAACTTCACGAACAATCGGTTGCTCAGAGAAACGTAATCCGGGGGAACGTTATTTCCGCAATATTTGCCAACCAAGGGACCGTCAGGTTCACCTCCTTCTCGAATCTGAAAAAAAATTTTGAGGAGCACTGCTGACAACTTTGGCCTGAATTTTGCATGCAACACCTTGAACACATATTTAAATCGTAATATCCATGCTTATTTGAGTACCTTGCGCCCTTGAGTAAGAGGCGCACCCAGATTTTTCAGCCCAACATAAACTATTATAGGATAGGAGCTCAATTCTGAGCGTGGGCAAAAAACACTGACTTTTTGACGTTATAAATTTATTAATCTGTGCAATCTTAAACTTAAACCTATACGTAACTTGGACTTAAGTTGAATCTTTCAATCGCTTTGATTAAAATTTTAAAATCCGAACTGGCCCAAAATTTCACATTTAAAATTAGGTTTGACACGCACCTAAACTTCTCGAAATTTGCATAAACTTAATCCTGTTTCCACGGCTAAAACGCGCACCCTCCTTTTTTCTTCTAAAATTTGAGAAAAAGGTCAGCTGTTTCCCATATATAAGTTTCTGTTAACGTTGTTCAAAATTTTCCCATTAGATTGAAATATGATGCGCACCTAAAGTTTTACAATTTTTCAAAAATTGTACACCCACTTCCTCCTTCTCAAATTTTGAGAAAAATGTGCAAGTGTGTACTGTATGTTTCGAATTAAAATTTCCAAAACCCTCGTTTTCCCCAATTAAATAGCCTTCTCACACTCGCACAAATGAAACGGCCATTGAACACCACGAATTAAATAAAGCCGCACCTCAACGTAATCGTAGGAACATCCGGAATACGAACTCTCGAGAGCGAATGTTACGAAATGCAGGCGAATTTTCTCATCGCCGTGAGTTCGTATGACCCAGTCGCATTTTGATAATATCCTATCCTCGAGTTAAGACTCGCACCCGTTTTTTGTGACTGAAAAACTGCAATATTTAAATAATTAGACACGTTAGAATTTGAATTTGGATATGCATTGAACCTGAATTCAACTTATTTTCAATCGCTTTGATTAAAATTTTTTAAATCCGAACTGGCCCAAAATTTCACATTAAAATTAGGTTTGACACGCACCTAAACTTCTCGAAATTTGTATAAACTTAATCCTGTTTCCACGGCTAAAAGGCGCACCCTCCTTTTTTCGTCTAAAATTTGAGAAAAAGGTCAGCTGTTTCCAATACAGTATATAAGTTTCTGTTAACGTTGTTCAAAATTTTCCCATTAGATTGAAATATGATGCGCACCTAAAGTTTTACAATTTTTCGAAAAATGTACACCCACTTCCTCCTTCTCAAATTTTGAGAAAAAAGTGCAAGTGTGCACTGTATGTTTCGAATTAAAATTTCCAAAACCCTCGTTTGCCCCAATTAAATAGCCTTCTCACACTCGCGCAAATGAAACGGCCATTGAACAGCACGAATTAAATAAAGCCGCACCTCAACGTAATCGTAGGAACATCCGGAATACGAACTCTCGAGAGCGAATGTTACGAAATGCAGGCGAATTTTCTCATCGCCGTGAGTTCGTATGACCCAGTCGCACTCGATATTGTTTTCGTACGTTTCTGGATGCCCGGGAGAAGCAAAAGATCCACTCGCATCCGCAAGGACACCACCACAACCAGGAATTCCTAATATAGACAGAAACATGAAACAAAACTAAACAAACTTTGAAGCTGCGAAAAGCTCAATTCCGATTTTTACCAGATCGAGTAGAAAACGTGATGTGGAAGCCGGCGTCAGCCAATGACTCATCCGAGTGAAAATGTAGCAAGGCATAAGAGCCGGCAGTTTCCAGAGGCGGCGGAATGGAGACGTTGCAGAAGGACCCGATCAGAGGGGCATTTTCCGTCACACCGTCGTAGATTTTGAGGAAGTCGAAGCTGCAATTGGCATGCACTTCCAGTTGCATCGTGGCGAACTGGAAGTTGATCCGTTTTCCGAGCGGAGCAGTCACGACCCAAAAGCAGTCCCGATTATGTGGGTAATTTCCGGGGTATCCCGGGGAGTTGATCGTTCCGTGGGTTCCCGACACGACCCCACCGCAGACTGAAATATGACGTACAAAGTTTGTTAGCAGCAGTCATTTCATCATCAATGAATAATTCAAATTTTCAATTGAACCTCGAGAACTCGAACCTCCCCTATTCAGTCGAATACTTCCCTATGTCGGTTTCTTTTCAAGTCCCTGCCTAAATTTCCTTATTGAAAATTACAGTATGTATTGAAAACCTCTCCACTTCAAACCTCCATAACTCGATTTTTCTGGATATTATTTTCTGACATACGGACGAGAAAATCAATAAAAATGTAACAATGTGCTTTGAAAGGACGTGAGACAAATTTTGCAAATGAACTCTTGCCTCCAAGTTCAGCATCCCGTCAGCTCCTTTAAGACGTAATTTTAGGCCCAGAATATCACGAATAAAAAATTCCTGCAATTGTTTCTTTCTTCGCCCAACACAAATGTTCGTTTCCCAAATTAGAAACCTTCTCAACTCGAATTTTTTCCTGGGCCCTCGAATTTTGACTTTGAAAGGTTACGAAATTTCAGAAAGTAACTCGCCAGGGTCTTGTGCAGTCCAAGTTAACTTGAAACCTCGATGAGCGATGCTATGATCCGAACGAAACAAAACACGCAGCTGATGATGCGACGTTTGCTGCAGGTCGTGTAACTGAGGGCCTCTGCCGCCGCAGTACGTTTTCGTACTTCCAGATGTCGCTGAAAGGCCATCGGAAAGCTGGAAAACAGCAACAACAAAATTAGACTGGTGAAATATTGCGCGGAATGAACACACTTAGCAAAGAAAAAAGACTCGATTCAAATTGTTTCTATAGAAATACAATGAATTTTCGAATGGCCATACACGTGCGGCTTTTCCTCGTTTTGCTCAATCCTGCATCTAAATCAATGTACCTATCACGATCGGGAACTGATGTTCGAAAAAATGTATTTTATTCGTGGAATAAATTACGCCGAAAATCATTCCCACCAGTAGCATCGCAGAAGTATTGCGAAAAAAGACCTGCTTCAAATTTCAGTCAAAAAGACGATACTGAAACTTCAAGAGAATGCATTAAAAAAAAATTTTCATCTTCAGAAATTTCTGCTTTTAATTTTGTCCCATATTTCTCATTTTTCTTCGGCTGATGAATCAAAGCATTATCTACTGGAAACTTGATAAGCGCCTTTGTAAAATATCCTCCTCGATCGATTATTCAAACTACGCCGTATCTTGCTCTGGATCACCCCAAACCCAAAACCGTGCATTATAATAGCTCTTCAGGTAGTGGAACTTACTTTCAAGTAGTCGTAATGACACACGGAGCTGACCTCCAGGTCGAACCGCTCAAACTTGTACCCAACGACCTTTGTCTCGTTTACCACGATGAGCCAAGAGCAAGTTGTGTTGTGTGGATAAACGTCCATGGAACCCGGTGCAGGAAAGTCGATTTCTCCGCTGTCCGAGGACAAAATCCCACCGCAGCGCCATTCCTCAACCTCACAACTTTGAATAAGAAGAATACGAGTGATCACGAATTCACGAGACCGAAATGTAAGTTTTAAAAAATCTCCATTTTCTGTTTTTCGATCCCCTGATGTATAGCTTCAAGCAGAGGTTGATAGATACTGTATACGCAAATAATTGAAAACTGATTCCGCATACACATAAAATTACATAGACGCAAAAACTTCGATAGAAATTTGCAAAAAACATTTCATACGCAGAGGCCAAAAATTAAAATCGATCATTTTGAGTTTTTTAATAACGCATGTATGTAAGCGATTTTCTGCTTACGAATCGAATTTTTTGCAGCTGCAACTTGACAGAAAAACTTTGATTATCTAGAATAATGACAAATAATGTGACAGGAATGATATGGAGCATGATGATCTCATTAAAATCTATAAATCTTCGGGAATTTATAAATGGCTGATTAAAAAATAAAAACCACGTTTGAAAAGATACTGATCTATTTCAGTGAACTTACAGTTGTTATTGGATAAATGCTCTTCTTACACATGTACGATTCTTGTCTGTTTCAGTTTGTATTTCAGTAAGATCAGTACATTTTTAGGAAATTTAAGAACGGCGAAGGTCTAGAATAAAAGGATTGTATTTTAAAATTTTACATTTTCTCTATTATTATTTAATCAAAAATGTTGAGAATGATGAAAATTCAAAATACTGTATACGGTACCGTATGTGTCGTGGAAGCGCTTTAAAGCGACTATTACCGGTTTCCTCTTAAAATTTCAGTAATAAATGCTCCAAAAATCAAGCATCTCATTGTAAATGATTTTCATGCCAAATGATGTCTATACTGTATTAACTATATAAGCCTTACACATAATGAAAATTCTAGAAAATAATCCATTGATATTTCTTACTTCGTGCCAGTGAATCCCGGACGACAAGTGCACGTGAACATTCCCACACCGTCCACACAGGTGCCACCATTCTGACACGGGCTACTCCAGCAGTCGTTGATGTTGAGCTCGCACAGTCGACCATCGAATCCCGACGGACACGAGCAAATAGGGAGACTTGATAACGGGTTCGGGATGCAGAGACCGTTGTTCAAACACGGGTTCGGGTTGCACGAGTTCATCGTGACGATCGCAGTGGAGCCACCGCCGGGAGACGGATTCACCGGCTGACCTGCCGGTGGGGTGGGTGAGCAACCCAAGGGCCCGATCCCAACGCCGGTGAACCCATACGGACAAATGCACCGCACGTACGAGGCTGAAATGGCTGAATTATCGCGAGTCGGAAAAATATATTCAACAATTAAGGCTCAGTATATAAGCATACGAGTGCTGTATACATTGTTAAAACGGATTCAACGGCGAAAAAATTAGAAAAACGGGCGAACCAGTGAAAATTAACGGGTGTTTCAAGTGATCCCCTTATTCTGAACGGTTATACTGGAGCGAGACTGAAATAAAAAAACGTATGAGTGAAGTTCTATCAATTCTCGATGAATGATCGCTGATCTCATAACTCTTACAGTGCTACTCTGTTGTTATTATTATTAACATCACCGTTCAAGATCAATTTTGGAGCTCAGCAAAAAATATCCACGCATGGTTCAAATTTGAATTTTGATTCTGAAGGTCTATGAATATTTTGTTCGAATGAAAACGATTTGAATTCATTTATGCAAGCCAAAACGGCAAGCAATTATACTCTCCAGAAAGAATTATGCCGCAAACTGTTCGTTGGAAGGTGATACTGTAGTTGAATCTGATGAAAAAACGGGGATCAGCTCAGACAAGCAAGTTTCAGATTTCTGACATTCAAGAAATACGGCAAATCAAAACTCAAGCGTAAGAAAAATATTTAGTAAAAAATACAGTATTTTCAACATGTGTCGCGTACGCATGTTCCTTTTTCAATCATGATTAGTGACGGCGATGTTAGGTCAAATTCATCAAGTTAAAAACGAGCGCTCGAAAACTGGGGATCATCGGGAAGTTTTAATCTGACACTTTTTTCGCGTTCCTTAGTTTTGCACCATATATTACTCCGCAAGTACTGAATCGCTCCACTTTTTTGGACACTTCACTTCAAGCTGGCATTAGTAAACGTAGGTTACTCACCGGAATTTTCATGGCAAGAAGCCAAATGATGACATCCTCCATTATTCACCTCACACGGACTTCTCGAACGTAAGCATCTTCTCCCATCGCCTTCGAAGCCCGGTGGACATGGGCCACAAGTTGAAGACCCCTAAACGAAAATGAATCAAAATTCCGAGCTTTGTTTTCTTATACAGTATCTAGCATAATTCAATGGTTCAAGGCTTACGAATGTGTTGATGCATTCAACCCTCGGCGTCGAACTACAGCCTCCGTTGCTGTTCAAGCACTCATCGATGTCACTGCAAGTGAATCCGTTCCCCGTAAACCCTGAACATATTTGACATAAATGTGAATGTTGGGATTTCGAAACATACACATCGCTCACTAAAAAAAATTGAATTGGAAACATTGAGTAATTATTTTTTCTTACCACGAGGACAAGGACCACACATGAAACCACCCAAGCTGTTCACGCATTGGACTGGAGGATTTTGTGAACAAGGAGGCCTTTGAATTGGCATCCCTACAGCAGACTGAGGGTTTCTGTATACATTGTTAAAACGGATTCAACGGCGAAAAAATTAGAAAAACGGGCGAACCAGTGAAAATTAACGGGTGTTTCAAGTGATCCCCTTATTCTGAACGGTTATACTGGAGCGAGACTGAAATACAAAAACGTATGAGCAAAGTTCTATCAATTCTCGATGAATGATCGCTGATCTCATAACTCTTACAGTGCTACTCTGTTGTTGTTATTATTAACATCACCGTTCAAGATCAATTTTGGAGCTCAGCAAGAAATATCCACGCATGGTTCAAATTTGAATTTTGATTCTGAAGGTCTATGAATATTTTGTTTGAATGAAAACGATTTGAATTCATTTATGCAAGCCAAAACGGCAAGCAGTTATTACTCTCCAGAAAGAATTATGCCGCAAACTGTTCGTTGAAAGGTGATACTGTAGTTGAATCTGATGAAAAAACGGGGATTAGCTCAGACAAGCAAGTTTTAGATTTCTGGCATTCAAGAAATACGGCAAATCAAAACTCAAGCGTAAAAAAAATATTTAGTAAAAAATACAGTATTTTCAACATGTGTCGCGTACGCATGTCCCTTTTTCAATCATGATTAGTGACGGCGATGTTAGGTCAAATTCATCAAATTAAAAACGAGCGCTCGAAAACTGGGGATCATCGGGAAGTTTTATATCATATTAGTTTTGTATCATATATTACTCCGCAAGTACTGAATCGCTCCACTTTTTTGGACACTTCACTTCGAGCTGGAATTAGTAAACGTAGGTTACTCACCGGAATTTTCATGGCAAGAAGCCAAATGATGACATCCTCCATTATTCACCTCACACGGACTTCTCGAACGTAAGCATCTTCTCCCATCGCCTTCGAAGCCCGGTGGACATGGGCCACACGTTGAAGACCCCTAAACGAAAATGAATCGAAATTCCGAGCTTTGTTTTCTTATACAGTATCTAGCATAATTCAATGGCTCATGGCTTACGAAGGTGTTGATGCATTCAACCCTCGGCGTCAAACTACAGCCTCCGTTGCTGTTCAAGCACTCATCGATGTCGCTGCAAGTGAATCCGTTCCCCGTAAACCCTGAACATATTTGAAATAAATGTGAATGCTTGGATTTCGAAACTTACACATCGCTCACTAAAAAAATTCAAATTGGAAACGTTGTGTTTAATAAAAAAGAATGGTGCTCCTGTTCCTGGTGTGTACTTTGGTGGGTTCGACAAGTGCGTAACCTGACCTCCTAAAACACTTGTTCCTCCGGAAACTTAACCGTAGGGATGTCGTCTGACTCCCAAGCATTCGTCTATATCACGGCAAATTGGATTATCTGGAGTATTGTACCACCCCTGCATGGAATAAACGAAATCATTCTTCATGCACTAGAATTAAATTAATTCAGTAAATACCGACGTATTCACTTTCTTCAGAATTCTAATTTTTTTATAAATACGATCAGTTCCACGCTGTAAAATTTCAAGAAAGTTTTCAACATGTATATTATTGTATATACAGCAATCACATCAAACCTTGAGATTGATCTTTTAATTCTTGCAGGGAATCTTGTAATCCTTGCAGCATTTGTGATTTTACCTTATTTGAGCGCAGACTTCGGCAAAAATACGACGAAGTTTCATCTATGCCATCAGACACATAGATGAACACTTACACGGACGTGTACAGAAATTCTGCTCAGCGCTCCGCCAATTGCGGATTTAACCGAACATCAGATCTTGATTGCAGAACAAATCGTTTTGTTTTCTGTCAGTAGTCTGCGATTTACAGTAATTATAAATATGGATGTCGCCAGTAATCTATACGAGGTTTCAACCTGTTCAATTTTGACGATATTTCGTCACGTTTGTTTTTCAATTCATACTTCTTGATTTTAAAAATTGAAGTGATTATAGTCGAGTCACGCAGGTAAAAAGTAGAGAAAGGCTGTCATGACGCCAAACGAAGAATTACGAAGATAATCGGATCTCGCACGCATAACTAACTTGATCACAAATGCAAGTGTACTGAAAACTTGAGCCAGGTTTCTGTCCATCAACGCAGATCCCGTGCATTCCGCAAAGTTCATGATAGCTTGTTGCACATCGACTCTCACGCTGTGTACAGTGACGCCCAACGTATCCGTCACGACACCGACATCTGGAATAAGATCCCGAAAATTCTTCACCACTGTTGCACATATTATCGGCGCATTTTTAAGCAATGTATTGTTGTATACACATAACAATATATTTTCTTCGAATATGATCGCTCAGCTTTAATTGATTGAAATTCAAGCAAGTGAATTCAACGGGGCTCTGTGTGAAACCCACGCAGGGGAACCACGGTTAAATTCCTTCACGACGCGTCATGGTTGCGGAGATCAAGTGTAGATGTCATCATGCAGCGAGCGAACGCATGATGACGCATACCAACTATGTTAACTCACGAATAAGATCCAGGTTCGTTGGTGCACATGGCATTATTTTGGCAGCCAAGCTCTGTCCCGCGGTATATGACGCATTCATTCACATCGTTGGCACATTGGGATCCCTACAGGAAGCATGTGATTGAAAGATCAAGTTTGATAGGACGTGAAAAGAATTATTCGGTGTACCTCCCATCCGTCCGGACATAAGCATCGAAATCCTCCAAAAAACGGAAGACAAGTTCCGCCGTTGTAACACGGATTCGACTGACAAGCATCAATTCGCAAATCATTCCTCAGAGCCGAGACCACGTCTTCCAGAGAGGACAGCTGATGATATCAAGATCTTTTCTTTCTCATATATCTTGCTTTTATTTAGTACACTCACATATTAATGCCGTACATATGATGAGTGAGCTAACGACCAATGAGAGTATTCAAGCGAAGGAGGCGGTGGGGATGAGTACAAGACGGGGAAACGTGTACTTTTAGGAATGACAGGAAAACTGACGTGAAAAATCTTCGTCGTATACCATTTGTACAGTCGAGATCTGGTTCTCAAGCGACGTCAATCGTGAAACGAGGGAAGATCCGCGCAGTTGCGTGAAAGACTCTTGGAGGGCATCGACTCTGATTTTCATAGTTCTCACCTATAAAGTTGAACATGGTACAGTATGTTTTATATTGACGACCAATCAAATATAAAAAATTTTCTAAATTTCAATGAACGCGAAAATTACACAGACGAAAAGCGCCAGGATCCCCTCGAAAATGAAATGAAAGTCATGGAGCAAGTATCATCACTTCCTTTAGAAACACATCCTGACATTTTTATATTTTATTGCTTTTCTCATTCCTGTGTCAATAAAATAATAGCCAAAAGGACTTCGAAAAATTTGAGGTACATCAGGATATAGAGCTTTGAGGAGGAAAGTATTTGTGTTGATTTTTTTAAGTGGATTATTTCTTAGAGAATTTAGACAGGGGCATGAAAAAAATGGACATGGAAATATTCAACTTCGGGAGGTTATTCAAGTTATCAATAAGGTTGAACTGCTGCATGCCCCGAATAAGTCCTGATCACTTCTTACTGCTGTGACATAATGTTGAGAGAAAGATACCTTTCAGATTTCCTCTGCAATTGAAGCAGGGATGTACCTTTACGACCTGTATGATGAAAGTTACGTTTCTCTGCTTTTTACCTTATGATATCTTCAATCCTATCTTGACTGAATGTACAGTGCAGTACATTAAAGATTCCACAAAAAATCAAACGATTTAACAGCATCCGCGGATTCCCTTTGTCCATCAAATGTCTAAAATCTTCTTATTGTAAAATGTTAACATAGAAAGCTCTTGCTTATTTTCTGGAGAAAATCCACGGTAATTTAATAGCGAATAAATATATGCCTTCTTTTCGAAAACACGTCAGTGTCGGATGTGATGAGGACACGGAAGTATCGTGTGACGTAATTAAACGAAAGTATTTTTTTAATCGCTGAATCAGAATGCGAAAATATCGAAACCTGATCGCAAGTCGAGGATAAGTCATGACCATCCACGTTGATCCTTCCAAGTGATCCGATGGTTTCAAATGTGATATTCCGCTCATTTCCAGGTTTGATGGTCAGATGTCCATTTCTGGTCAGGAACTTCGGGCTGATATTTATAATAACCGGCGAATGAATCAATTCATCGACACTTTGAAATGGTTGAGCAGATTTGGGAACTGATGTTTAAACTTCTTCAAATTGTATGATGGATGCCGAACTCGAAGATCAGAGAGCCTACTTTATGTGTTCATCACCCGAGTTGTGCGATCCCAAAAGGGGAATGAAAAATAAACTGTGATTAAAGGCATCCCTAGCAATTGCAGTGGTTAAACGACTAACGAGCAGTGCCAGTGGTTGCGTGTGCGTTGGCTCTAATTCTCCTTGTCACCTTTTACGAAGGCGGTAACTAGGTAGTAACTTGAGCGGATTAGCTCTGCGCAGCCGGCAAGAACACTGATCCTCGCAGATCCGACGGTGCAATGTTCTGCAAAGCACCTATGGAATTCGAGAACAACCAATCCGCCCCCCGTCACGGACAGTCGTGACGTGAAATATTCTACCTCCGTCAATACGCCCCCTGCGTTAATAGCTATGCGGCAAAATTATAGATAACAAGCGCTTAAACCGAAGTTAAAGATCTCAGACAAAATCACGTGTCTTACAAAAATTGCGAACATAAACGGAGAATTGAAGTGCTGGTTCGTTTTTTTTACCAACTTTTAAATAATGTATCATGTCATTTCTGGGAAATTCGTGAAGGTATGGAAGGCAATATTAGTAAATATTGCACGGGGGCTCTTCCATTTCACGGCTAGCTACAAACGGAACTATTGTTCTGTACCATCACCCAAAACAGTTCTCCATCACTAGGAATTGCTGTAGTTATGGCTGAAAACATGATCGTTGTTTCTCGCTTCGCACGTCACGAACACGGAAATCAAATAACACGCAACTACTTTTTCACAAATCTTGTACTGTATTGCAAGTTCATCACAAACAAAAATATTCCAGCACAGTATCACTCACTAATTTCCGTAGGGATCGTTAACGTCACCAATTTGCTGATTGCTCGTCACGGTCACCAACGCACACGCAACCGAGATTAAGAGGAACAGTGGAAAATGCTTCCGCCATTGATCCATCATTGAACTGCGGATTAGCTCTGCGCAGCCGGCAAGAACACTGATCCTCGCAGATCCGACGGTGCAATGTTCTGCGAAGCACCTATGGAATTCGAGAACAACCAATCCGCCCCCCGTCACGGACAGTCGTGACGTGAAATATTCTACCGCCGTCAATACGCCCCCTGCGTTAATAACTATGCGGCAAAAAGATAGATAACAGGCGCTTAAACCGAAGTTGAAGATTTCAGACAAAATCACGTGTCTTACAAAAATTGCGAACATAAACTGAGAATTGAAGTGCTGGTTCGTTTTTTTTTTTTACCAACTTTTAAATAATGTATCATGTCATTTCTGGGAAATTCGTGAAGGTAAGTGGAAGGCAATATTAGTAATTATTGAACGGGGGCTCTTCCATTTCACGGTTAGCTACAAACGGAACTATTGTTCTGTACCATCACACAAAACAGTTCTCCATCACTAGGAATTGCTGTAGTTATGGCTGAAAGCATGATCGTTGTTTCTCGCTTCGCACGTCACGAACACGGAAATCAAATAACACGCAACTACTTTTTCACAAATCTTGTACTGTATTGCAAGTTCATCACAAACAAAAATATTCCAGCACAGTATCACAGATATTCCCGCCAAAAAATCACAGCCAAGGTCCACTACGAAAATGACTCATACGCAAGCCACGCAACAACGCCTGGGCGCCCATAACATGAATCACAATGCTGAGCGGAACAAATATTTCCGCGCATAATTTCGTGGGCGACAACTCAACAATAGATCGATGAAAGCTTCGAATTCACGGAATGATCACATAATTGAGATCTTGATCCACGGTGCCGCAGTCGTTCTTCTCCTGAAACAGATGAGCAGCATGTCAAAATTTCCGAAATGGAACATTGCTTTGATGCATGTACAAATTACAGTACAGTACTGTACACCACAACCATTGTAGAATTTCATTGATCAAGCTAAATTCTCACATTACAGATAAAACCCAGAATTCCATCACCCCGAATCACCGATCAGATTTATCAAGATCCCAGAGGAAGCCAATTAAATTTACTTCGCAATAATGCAAATCATCTGAAGAACCTCAAACTGGAAACAAAATTCGAAGAAATGGGGAGACTCACATCTCCAAAAGGGTTTTCCTCCAGTAGCAATTGGCAAAACTTCGGTACACTCGGAAACGGTCCAAAAGAGGACTTCCGGAGCCTGACGAACACCGAACAACACGAATAAATGTCTACACCGGAAACAAGGTTCAGAGAAATCCAAGTGCAACACTCGAAGAGTGGGTGTCTCATCAAATGACCTTAAGCTCGCAGAAAACAGGGTTCTTCTTTTCGTATTCCTTGCGGAAACAAGCTCAAGCACATAACGACTCAGCCTCAAAAAATAGGAAGAAGACAGAACCGAACATGTCCATTACTGGAAAACGTTCTCGTTACCTGCATCCGTTCCCTACGCTGTCCTGCCTGCCCTGATGTCGACCTCAGCTTCCCCTGTCTCCAGAAAAACTCATCATTCCTTCCTCTTGACCTAGCTACATCTCGCAAGTAATTCCTCACGCTCCCACCAGCATTTCACCTCTCATCACGGCAATAATTATTTCGGACACTGGCGCAATAGGGGACGAAACTACACAGATCTCGGTTCAAATGTGAAATATGAACAGCACACGATGCTTCACGCCACACACCGTGAAAAACATTGAAGCCGACATGATCTTACATTGAAGTGCCGGATACGCACATCGATTTTAGAAACGTCATACCCACTCAAGTCCATACGATTTTCATTAGACTTACATTAACGAAGCAGAATATGCAATCTGAATTACTCCTTCAAGTAACACTTCGCATTAAACCGACAAGTATTTTCCCCAAAAATAAATAGGACCTTGAAAGCAAATTTCAATGCATAAAAAAACTAAAAAGCATGACAAAGAATGCTCTCGTTTGGATTTTGTAAAATTCTCAGATTAAATACAGGAATGAGATACTGTATACAATATTGCGCTTCGCCGCAAACCGCGTATAATTTGTGAAAATTCTAGCAAAACAATCTTAATTTTCCATCCGCTAAATTCCAACGACGATCCATTCAAAATAATTTTTCGGGCGATGGACAAGGGCTCATTTGTGAGGTATCCATTGAGAATTTCGATAAGAATTGGATTTTTAGAATGAAACTGGAGAAGTTCATTGGACTATGACCAGAGTGAATTTCACCGTATTTTAATGTTGGTATAATTCAGTCTAGCAAATTCGAACACTGAGTTTTTGCAAGCCTTTTCAAGCAATGCACAGGAGATTCAAATTAAGAATTAATAATACTGTATGTGCGAAAGAAGGAATCAGGAGAACTATCCTTGAAGGATCAAGGAAAATTTTTGAGAATATGGCCTTTGAGTTTCTCAAAATTTAGTCATGATGTAAGCCTCGGAGGTTCAAGAATAGGTGTGAGAACCGGAGTTCTCACACTCTGTTCTCACAAAGGTGTACAAGGATGAATTTTTGGAGAAGTGTTAATTCTCACCCTTTTAAATTAGGCGTAACAAATAAGAGTTTTGCCGTTTTTAATTCGCGACAGTATCGCTTCAACCACAAGTAATGTTATAGAAGAAAATTTAAATCGGGCTCATTTTTGAAATACAGTCAAGTACTGTACATGAATGTAAATCGTGAGGGGAACAGTACTGCATACATAATATTAGAAAACCTGTGCAGTCGCTCAAAGTGATGTAATTTACAGTACTGTATTGCTTTAATATTTTTTTCAGACATCCAGTTGTTCCGTGAGATATTCCACGTAATTCACTTCTGTCAAAAAGCCTTCTCAATCATAGGTTATTTGTCGCTGGAAACGCCTGTTTAATCTCTCACGAAGAAGACCAGTTGACAAAATAAACTTGAAATGGGAAAACCAACAGGGAAAGCCGGAACATTTAAGAAATTCTCCATTAAAATGGTTTTGATGTTAATTCACCGTATCGCATCGCTGAAAAAAATACGGTTTACAATTTTCTGATGGTGATTGAAATGGAGAAATCTGAGCGAGGTTCAATAAGAGCGGAAATACTGGCAGAAGCATGAATTAAGGGATACTTCGAAAATCAGTGACAACCTGGATGTTCCACCGAACAAAGCCTGAAGTTTATTCCTTTCAATGAATGCTTACAGATTCCATACCACGCCCATATACAAAAAACCGAGGCATAGTTAAAAAGTGAGGAAGGGGGCAAATGTTGAAAACCGTCTTTGTCCAGAGAACAGAGCTCGGGAATGTTCTTCGCCATAGGCACCTGAACCCATCCTAATCGATCGCTTTCGCATGATAACCCCTGTCACGCCTACTCTTCTCTGTCGGTTCCGGCTATTTGCCTGCCTGCCTGCCTCTCATCGCTAATTTTCACACCTGCAGAGGACAAGCATAAATATGAAGATTTCGCATACGAGGGACTGCCTCGCCCTCGCAGAAATTAAGCGAATGTTACAAGGTTAATCCATTCCATTCTAACTCTACTACAAACAAACCGAACATCTACGAAGCTAGGATCCGATCAGATAGCCGAAGGTTTTTCTTTTCATACCGGGCCTGAAAACAGTTCGAATATTCACAGAAAAGCAAACTAACTCTCCCATCAACTCAAAGCTACGTAAATCAGAACGCAGGTATTTCACGAGCTTCACCTCGGAATTTCATGGAAATTTAAAGTACAATGCATCATGTGGACAGGAGTTGAATTGAACATAATGCAGACGAGGATTTTTGCACGACTTCCAAACTCTATAACCTTGTACCAACCGCTGAAATTCCGCGAGCTCAGTTCCTATACATTAGGCACTCCTTTCCTCCATCCCCAGAAACATCATCACACTGCACTCAAACCCACCCACTAACAAAACACCTGAGGAACCTAACGTTAATAAGGAAGTACAAATCAGAAGAAGGAACTTACCTCAAAACAAAACGAAGGCGGCGTGTCGTCGAAAGTCCGGCTTTTTCTTGCATTTACACAAACAACCACATCCTTAAAGTTTCTTTTTTCGGGGGCATAGAAAAGGAGAAAGGTCAAGTGAAACTATTTGACAACGACGGGTGGGGATTTTAGGGAAGCTGAAGGGAGAGGGCGTGCTCTTCGACGTCATTTCTTCCTTCAAAAGCGGCTTCTGTATCCTGTTTCACCCGAAAAAACGGAACGAAGAAAAATCCCATGAATACCGACGGATAAACTAGATTTCATTTTTTAAACAACATTTCTAAAATTTTAAAATTGCGACTTCCTTACGTTTATTCTTATGTAGACTAAGACTAAACTTTTCCTTCAACCGAGCACGAGAATTGTAAGCCCAACAAGTTCATCAAGCTGCGAGAGCATATGTGGAATTTCAGGAAAATTGAAAAACCTCCAGATTCGCAATTTTGATTGACGAAGAAAAATTCGCGCGTTCAAGTCCCAGCCTTCCTTTTTACTCAATACCTCCTTGTCCGCCTCCTCCGCCCATGCCACCGCCGGAGCTCCCGTAGGGGCCAGGACGGCCACTACCACCACCCCCGTACGAACCGCCGCCATAGCTTCCTCCTCCTCCGCCGCCGCCACCACCGTAGCCACCGCCGCCAGATGAGCCCCTCACTGGACCACCGCCGTAGCCTTGCTGGTAGCTCTGGCCAAAGCCATTCGAAGAGCCACCACCTGAGTAACCGCCGGAACCACCGCCGCCACCGCTACGGTAGCCACCCCCTGAAATTCAAGAAGGGGGTTCATGATTCGTTTTCAGGAGCTTAATTATTCAAAAAATCGGGAAAAGAGAGGTCCAAGTTCGACTTGCACAAAAGATTATCTCGTTTCCGAATAGCTTCTGTTCAATTTTTAACACGTCTGAACTACTTTCATCTTAAATCTAACGCATGAAACCCTACAATCGATAAAGATTTGAAACTGACCTAAATTAAATGCTTCGTATGGTGCGAATGTTTTGTTTCTATATTAATGGTTATGAAATAACTCCAATTTTGAACAATTATTGTAATGAACTTCGAAAATGCCGATTCAGATGGAGAACGCGGATTTTCCGAACAGGAATACGAACCAGATCCGTATCCGTCTCCGCCGCCTCGCTCATAGTTGCTTCCGCCGCCACCACCGTATCCTCCTGAGGAACCACCCCAATTTCCACCGCCAGAGGACCCACTGGAGCTTCCCCAGTTGCCTCCTCCACCACCACCGCTCCTGGATGCCCACGGACTGCTAGAACCTCCTCCGCCGCCGCCGCCTCCCCATGAGCGGCCGCCGCCGCCACCACCTTCCCGACCACCACCGTAGCCTCCGCTACCTCCACGTGGACCGCCCCAGCCGCCGCCGCCACCTCCACCGCCGCCGCCCCACTTGCCGCCACCTCCACCGCCACCGGACCATGGACCAGGCCCATCCATGTCACCTCCGCGTGACGAACGCTTCGCCATGTCTTCTTTGCTCACGGCTTTCTTCACATCCACACGTTTACCCGCGATCACATGCTCTTGTTCGATCACTGAAAAATAAAATCACACATGAATTTGATATCAGCCTTTTCCTTTACTTTGTCAAGTGTAGGCCTGCCTTTACGGTGTCCAATAAGTTACTCAGTTCTGTACTGTACTAGAAACTGCAAGAGAGCCATATAAAAAATACTTGACGGCTATCAAATTACTTTTTATTTATTATTTATTTAAATACGGTATTTATAGCTGCCAGAATGCACTTTAGAAATATAGTTGAACTTCGAACATTGTATCGCACTAATAATTTTAATTAAAGGAAAATTCAACCAACCGTTTGTCTTGCAAACATAAGATTAAAAACAAAGCCGCTTCAGAAAGGGAGCGTTTTTTCCAACATGTTCGTGACATCGCAGTTAACGTCGGACGAGAGGTAATATTTACTATCTGTCGAATTCAGCAGCACATGTTTTATTCTACAGTAGTAGTGAATCGATTCCTGAAAATGGCTGCAACGGCTACTATCATTGAACACCTTGAGGCAAAATACCTGTATGTCTAAAAATTTATTGGAGCCAAACCAGGGGCAACACTTACAGCTAATCCAATCAATGGCGTTGGCATTGATCGGTTTACGATTTCATAGTTTACCAGTTCTTTCTATACTTCCGAAATTTACATAATTCCGCAAATGCGAGATAAACTGGTCAGTAAAGACTCACTCGGAATCTAGCTATGGTGATGAAGGCTTTTCATAAACGCGCGAGTTCTGATGGAATCTTTGTAAAAATTAAAACGATAACAGCATTTCTACGAAGATTTTCTCTGCACAACGAATTTTTGTTTCATGAGGTCCGGTAGTGGTTAACTCGAATTTGTTTCTGGCCCCTGATTTTCGTTTCAGAGAGTCTACCTGTTCAGTAATTTACTCACAGCAAGCTTTGTCCACGGAGTCGTAGTCATCGAACTCCACAAACCCAAACCCGCGCTTCTTGCTCGTGCCCTTTTCAGTCACGTGGACGGCGCTGACGACGGTGCCGAAGCGAGAGAAGTGCTCGCGCAGCTGTTCCTCCGTCACGTCCTCGCGCAGACCGCCGACAAAAAGCTTCTTCACAGTCATGTTGGCGTCCGCACGGCCATTTTCCTCGCGACGCACAGCACGCTTCGGCTCCACTGTGCGACTATCGATCCGATGCGGGCGGTTCTTCATGGCCTCGTCCACCATTGACGCTTCAGAGTAAGTCACGAAGCCGAAACCTCGGGATCTGAATGAAAAGACCCCCGAACACGAGTTTATAACTCGAAGCTGAAGTTTCACTTCCTTGTCTTTAATTATAGGTACTTCGGTTAGACAGAACCTTGCGGTCGAGGTTAGCGATTTTGTTAATCTCATTCTCTGTTCGCACGTTTATTTATAAAAAACGAAATCGAGAGAATAAACTTGAGGGGAAAATGGACAATTGAGTTCATGGATAAAGATTTGTCGATTGATCATTCGTAGCCTCAATCTGTCCACGCAGTCAAAGTAATTTGACTGCGAAAGTAAGTTCACACTTCAATAACTGCATTTTCAGTGTTTCCAAAATTGCCTGGTCTCCAAAACGCAATCCGCATGAAAACTACACAATACCGAAGATATAAATACAGTCCTGTTCTACTCATTTGAAGGGAAATACAAATGATCATAATTTAGCATACTCAGATTTTGTTTCGTCAGTTAATCACGAAGAAAGTTAATTATTTCCCCACTCAATCACTTCTGAAGGAATTAGGTCCGATTCTGTTGTTACGGTAGTTATTTTTTCCACGTCAGAGGACAGTTTTCTTACCTGCGTGTGTTCGGATCTTTCATGACAACGACGTCAACGATTTTTCCCCACTTCTCGTAAAACGCCTTCAAGGATTCATCCGTCGTTCGCCAGTTCAACCCTCCAATAAACAATTTCCTCATCTGTTCCGGTTCGCTCTGAGGGGAAAATTACGAGAATTGGTTTCATAAAAAGCCGTTTTTGTCACTTTCGACCAATTGTTTTCCATCGAAATAATAGCGCGACTAGAAACTAACGCGAATGCAATCACTTCTGTGAGACTTCAGTTGTACAGTATAAAATGTCATTAACCCGAAGACGATAGATGATCATCAAACGAAAAACAGAATCAAAACGTAGTGTTACAGATGAGAAAGTTGACGGGTTAAAGCATGAAAAAATTCCGACTTACTCCAACATTGTCATCCATCTCACTGTTGTCCAAATTCTCTTCTTTCGCATCCATGATGAACACCTTAAGCTCAATTAAATCAACTGTTCACACAATCCTGCAAAGAACAAAGCAAACAAATGAAACAAGTCCGATACACATCGTACTTCAAAAATCAAATAAACTTCGGACTTCAATCACAGCAAACCACGGAATGGTAATACGTAATCACAATAATAAAATTCAAACATTATGCATCCTCGAGACAGTTTGCAATTGCCTTCACCAAGACGGTGTTGGCTTACTGTCAAGGAGATGCATAACAACAAAAACCATGGGAGAATCACAAGCGTTTTTGAAGCTTCTTGCTGTAACCAAGGGCCTCTAAAAATACCGGGTGATCCAGGAACTCGACAGCGCATCTCTGAGGAACCTCAAACGAGCAATCGGCATGGTCAAGCTCGAAAATCATCAACTCGTTTTCAGCAGCCTTCAGAAAAATTCCAGGCACATACAAGGTATTCACAGGTCCGAAATCGTTCCAATAGCGTCCCAAATTTATACCATTCAAGAATGCCACTCCCCTGGAAAAGCTAGTGGTTCTGAGGTAGGTATCTTTGGGATACCCAGTCACAGGATCTGCGGTTTTGGGGATCTTAAATCTGGCCAAAAAAATACCTGGCATCTGAAAATCACCCTTCAGTCCTGGACTAAGTTTCAAAGCCTCACTCGAATTCAACGGAATTGAATACATACTCCAGTCGGTCAACAGAACATCATCAAGTCGAACCTCCTTCACGCCTTTCAAATCATTCATTCCACCTCCGTAATTAACTCGCCCCATGTTGTGGACCAAAATCGACAAGATCTGCCCATACTTCACCACTAGACCATCAATTGTAAAAATGCCACGCGTTCGCGACAGAATGCCGACTCGAACACCGTTCACCATCACAATGCCTTCGTCGGCCAAACCCTTGGTCGTCAACGTGGCATTCATTACATCTTTCAATACGAAAGTTTGATACAACACGAAACCGTAATCCTGACGAAGTTCTTCAAATGTCAGAGGATGCAGGGAATTTTTCGACGAGTGCGTAACCTGATTTTTGACGCTTACCAACTGGCCCATAAAATCCATTTGAATCAACCCGTGTTTCGCAATTGACACATTCGCTGGTAAGTCAGGAACATCAACCCGATTAGAATACTTTAGCAACACTTCCCGCAACTTGTGGCACTTGATACCGCAACCCCCATTCTCAGTTAGCGGAGAATCGTAGTCATACGAATTAGGATCGGATTGGTAAAGTGTACCAGCCATGTTCGCACCAGGAAAAAAGCCAAAGGTTGTGCCACCCAAGAACATGTACATGCTCACAGAAAACGAAGTACTATCATTAAGGTATTTGTTCAATCGAGATGCGAGGGTATCGGGTGAAAAGCGCTGAAATTCTTCCCCCCAATGTTGAAACCATCCAGTGTAAAGTTCCGAGTTTACGAAGGGTCCATTGAAACCCTCATTCCGCAGATCTGCAAAAGCTTTCGATGGGTCGTCAACTGGTGCAAAATCCACGGTGGTCAAAGTGCCTTTAATCGCGCCTCGAGTGAAATAAGACTTGGAATTTCCATCCGTCGTGTAATACACCACGTCGGGTCCCAGATAAATACTCGCTAGGTCGTACAGTGCTTTGGAATGAACAGGCTCTGCTGAGGGATAACTTCCGTATTCGTTCTCGATCTGAACCATTATCACAGGACCCCCATTCTGATACAACATAGGAACAATCTTGGGTAGAAGCACTCCCCAGTAGTCTCGGACATGCGTCATGTAGTCTTCAGCATTGCTTCTGAGTTTCATCGAAGGATTTTCCATAAGTAACCATGCGGGGAGACCGCCAAGTTCCCATTCAGCGCAAATGTACGGACCAATTCGCAGCAAGACCAGAAGACCTTCTGACTGAGCCGTTCGTAAAAAGCTAGACAAGGATAAATGCGCTATATCAAGTTTCGAAAAAGGGAGAAAAATATTGTTAAATCTTTCGTTATCGATCCTTACTGTTCCGTAATAGGTCGTTCGTGACTGAAGATTTTCGAAGTGCTGTGTTGGGTTTCTCTCCAATTGAAAAATACAGTACAGTAACTTGAACGTGAGTTTGGTTAATCCGGTAAATTATTGTGTAGCGGAATTAAAAAGGCGGAACGGAGCTTATCATAAAATATGCCGGGATGAGCTACGGTATTTGCAATTACACACAGCAAATCAGAACGTCACTCGGAGTGGGAAAGCGAATTAGAAAGCCGTGCAAACGACTTACAGGTTTCGCACGAGATACCATTCTTGAACAGGATTACAGAAGTTTCTAACGACCCAGGACATTCCCGAACAATCTAACCATACCCTTGGTAATGTAAGTGGCGCGTCTAGTTATTCTTCAACCATTTACGGAAACCAACGTCACATAGAAATAAGTCAGACGGGATTTTCACGACAGCAGTCAAATTAAAAGAACCCGAGGCGCAACAAAGCAACCTCGAAGACAGTTTAGTATTAACTAACCTTATAAGATCTCTGTCCCCGGAAAAGTCAAACTGGCCTTTCCACGGCTCATGGAAATTCCATGGCACGAGAGTCTGCACGGCATCCAAACCCATGGCACTGAAGCGCGTAAGCCGGTCCCGCCAATACTGGTTCGGAACACGGGAGTAATGCAATGATCCCGAAATATATCGAAATGGCTTTCCATCCTTCACAAAATGACCAGCTTCGTAGTCGACATAAAATTTTGCATTTGATTCGAGTTTCACGGGTTCCACTATTCGGTCTATATATTGATCATCTTCACGGTAAACCACTTCGTGATCACTGTAATCTTGCCTGTAAATTAAACTGGCGGATCCGAAAGCGAGATAAGCTGCCGCGAATACTAATACTCGCAACATCAAGAACAAGCACACCGAGATCTGGAACCACAGTAGGACGGGATTAGCTTCATTAGAAAACATCAATCCGAATTTGAGTTTCTTAATGAACACAGTACTGATCCCAGTAAACCACCGATCACAAACTTTCAATTAAACGCAAACATGTACACGCTTCCACAGGTACGCTAATGCTAAGCATCTCAGATTGATTCCAACCCGAGTACGATTAATTCACTTTTCCGAAATATTGCTTTGATTTTTCAGGATCGGGTTTAATAGTTGGGGAATCTGGCTTCCAATTCGCCGGACACACTGAAAATAAAAACATAGGTCTCTAAAACACCAAGATCTTTATAAGATGAAACCCTTACCTTCTCCATGCTTTTCAACGAACTGGAAAGCTTTCACAAGCCGCAAGGTTTCATCAACTGATCGACCGACTGGGAGGTCGTTGACCGTGATCTGTCTCAAGTTACCCTTTGGATCAATAATGAAAAGCCCACGCAATGCAACTCCCGCGTCTTCGAGCAGGACACCGTAGGCTCGTGCAACATTCTTGCTCAGATCGGATAATAATGGATATTTCAGTCCACCTAGACCGCCTTCCTATAAGAACACAGTTTATACGTGGCATTCATTTTAACCCCTAATTCGAGCAATGAAAAACCCCACTTTTCTAGGCATGTTGATCCAAGCGTAATGCGAGTAGTGGGAATCAACGGACACCCCGACGACTGAACAGTTGAGTTTGTCGAATTCTGAAACTTGGTCGCTGAAAGCAATGATTTCCGTTGGACACACGAAAGTACTGCAAAAGGGGATGTGGATCATTGTCAAGTAATTTGTCCTACATATGCTACAACGTACAAGTCAAGCGGGTAGAAGAAGAGAACCAGCCATTTCCCTTCATAATCCGTCAACTGAATTTCCTTGAATTCGCCATCAACAACTGCCATTCCCCGGAAATCAGGCGCCCGCTGCGTAATTTTGGGACCCCAAACGCTTTCACCTAACGAGAGAAGACGAATTTGGAATGCATACAGATACTGTGGAAAATCGAGTCTTCATGGGAATGCCTCACGAGGGAAAGTAGTCGAGAGGGTTCTCACACTCGAACCCTGTAGGAGTGCATTCATGCGAACAACACGGGTACCCCTGCTGGCCGTAGTGAGGCTTCTTCCTGCCCACTTCTACGCATCATACATGAGTCTTAGATCATTCTAGTACAGAAAATTAACACAACGTACCAATAACGAGGCAGCTGGATGTCGCCACAAATTTGGGGAAGACATCGCGGATATTTATCACCTTTCACGACACCCGTAGTCACAGGATAATCCTCTAAAAACCGAGTCAACTCAAACGCAGGAAACACTTAGAATGATTCATCTAAAAAATCCATGATCTATTTCTATCGCTCCGATCATCACGCATCACAGAACACTAAAATTCCGCGATCACATCTCTCAGAATACCCTCAACACGAAACTGATGATCGGCAAAATGACGGTTGAGGCCCTGCGGTCTTCCATTTTGAAACGTCGACTTCGATTGTCTCGAGGTCAGCTCCCTTCAAGACATTGAGCGTCTGATCGATAAACTCCGCGTGGCGAATGTTCCTTTAAAATCGGTTTTTTCACAGTAAGAGAGACCTGTTACAATTCACTCGTCAACAGAAAAAAGATTTCTTTGATGGATTTATGACATCTTTTCTTACAATGGCTCCCTTCTCTGCAACACCCCTGATGTGTACATGTTTTCTCATGAAGGAAGCGACACCTCTCACAAAGAATTTCATATTTTTCCAGTGCTCTTCCTTTAATTCCGTTAGGTCGAAACTTTCCATGCGAACGGCAGCAAATCCGGCATTCCGTATCAATGTTTCCTCCATACTAACATCTTCAAAACTAACCTTTCCACCTCTGTTGTGGATTTCCCAGCCAAAGCAAATTTCAAACAGCAAAAATTGAAGGTATTCAATGAAATTTCCCTTGTGCTTATGGATTTCACGGTTCTGTGGTGAAGGCTCAAATGATTCCACATGCTCCCAGAAGAAGTACTTCCCACCAGGACACAATATTCTTTTGATTTCACTCAAAAACTTGGTGGGGTCTTCCGCATGGCACATCACCATTGTGGTCACCACTATGTCAACACTGTCATCAGGAATCGAAGATAGGTCTTCTCCTTTTCCTGCAATGAAAACATAAAGATAAACTTGATTGTGAATATATATGCTGTAAATTATACAGTACAAAAAGTTAAATGTTTAGAAGTAATTAAATGTACATAATTGGGTATGCAGTACATTTTTTAAATATAATTATTTGCTATCTTCTTGAATATTGAAAAAAATATGACAACACAAATTTTGGATTGACATCAGCAAAACTGTATATTTCTTTTTCTATTTGAGGGCAGCTGCTGGAATAAGAGGGCAAGGGTAAGATAAACATGAAAACTATATATAGCACCCAGTTTACAGCAGTTCCTCTCAATTATTGCATAGTTGAAAAAATTGTTTGTTTATTCTTATGCAGCATAAAATTTGATTTCTTGCCAAATGAGATTGAGAACTTACCTATGATGTATCTCTCCAACTCACACCCCCTCTTGTCAACAGCATTTCTGAAGTACTTCTCAAATTGAGGTGCTGGGTCAATTCCAGTGACCAACGCATTTGTTGGGTAAAATTGAATATTCGCACCTGGCCCAGATCCCACTTCCACTAAGCGAATCTTCCCTTTGCCCCTCAGTTCACCATTGTGGGACTTGATGGACCTCAAGGCAGTGAAATGTTTCAATTTCAAGGGAGAAACTGCTTCGTTGTATGCACACAAGTCCTTTGCAAACACGTATGTCTGGAAATCTGTCTTCAATTCGGGTTTGAGAAGGACTGCGCCAGTCACTGCTGTCACAGTTGCCACGGAAGTGTATTTCACTATTTTCAAGAGCACCTTCATGTCACATATATAAATACCTGCTGCAAGAATCCGCCATACTTACTAATATAAAACTATTGTGCAGTTCTCTTACTGTCGAGCTATGCTCATAAAAAACCATGGCACACTATGCACATGCAAACAGCTCATTTTTCGTAATAATACTTGAGTACCACATGCACTTTTTTCACAGTAAACAGGAAAAAAGGGGCTGCGTGTCACGTCAGGTATAACATTTTAAAAAGGTTTATGGGTGTCAAGTACTCGATTCCAATGAGGAATTTTAAATCATTTTCAGCAGACAATCTAAAACTGGAAATGATGGTAAATTAGCATTTAATTTGACAAAAATTTAAGACACACGTTAAATTCTGATTTATTTTATTCAAAGATACTGTATTTCAAATTTTTGCTCCTAAACATGGGGTGCGTGTCTTTCTTTAAGGATATTTTACGTTGAAAAATAAAATTCAGGTCCACCGTCCTCAAGAAGGTCTACTTGAGTAAATATAGTAACGAAGTCTCTCACAAGAAATCACAGCTGATTTAACCAGATCTAGCATTATCTGGGAAATACCTAACAAACCTAATGATAAGTTAAGGAAAAATTAAATTGCAATGGATCGTAGAAATACAAAAAAATGTCACTTGAAATAAACGCCTCTTGGTTTCAAAATCATATTCTTAGGGTCAAAAATATTCATTTTAACCCGGGCTTTGGTCATTTCTCCCTCATTTAAATTTTAAAAATCATGGTCAATTTTAGTCACTTATTTGCTACGATTTTCCAATTTTTCCAGTGCGCAGCAAACTCGGCGAAAAATATTTTCAACACAAATTCGAAAACATAACTTTTCACCACGCATCATATTTGGATAGAAATTTCAAATTGGGTTGGCGTGATTGAGATTTTTGGATCACCTTAAAAAGGATAGATAATTTTTAAAAATAACACTTGATTGGCAACTCGACCATACGTGCTGGCACCATTTTCACACAGACAAAATTTCCCTTTTTCCGATCCAATAATCCGTTTGACACTAAGCCTTGTTATCCATCAGGCAGACACTCACTTACTCACTTGGGAAGCAACAAAGTTGATCCACGCACTCACGCGGAAAAGAGAAAAAAAAAACAGATCACACTATTGCGCGTCTCATCCCTTGATTCACAGACCGCAGACTTACACAAGATAAAGCAAAACTGGTTCCCATTAAAAACAGGGCCATATCTTCGTTGCCCCAGGGACACCGTCGTAATAAGAGGGGGAAAAAAGGGGGGCTGCCTCGAACCCGTCACTTGCTGAGTGTCGTCAGATGTCGTCTAGCGATAGTAACCACGACGTTTCGCGCATCATATATATACACAACGATGAAAGGAATCATGTATATATAAACACAGCAGAACGCGCGAAAGCCACTATATAGGACACTTACGAACACCAAGGAAAACATTAAAATCCGTTTATTGTCTTGTCCACCACTTCAAACCGCAAGATGATAATTTTCGTGTCTTTTTTGACTGTGTGTGTGTGTCATCCACCCACTTCTACACATTTTCCACGTGTAGTACAGTATTACGAATGAATACGCGGCTCGTTCAAAATCTTGTATCAAAAGAAACATCAGACTAAGAAATACCGCGCGAGCTTCGAATCAGCAATTAACCCAGTTTATTGCGCATTTCCTGACGACTGGTGTCAGCAAATTCGCGTGATTATGCAGGTCCAAAAGTTCGAAGAAATGCATACGAAGAGCAATAAAATTAAAATAAAAATGTTTTCATACGAATTCTTCTTCAGAAATCAGATCGCGAACGAATTCGAAACTTAATCTTCCGCTGATTTACGATCCACTCAAAAATACAGACAATTTTTAAACACCGAGGATGAAAAAGGTTATCGACGCATTTTTATAATTCAATCGTCATTACAATGATAAGTGTTTGCGAAGCAAAAACAAATACTGTATATAAAACAAAAACAAATATTGCATATATAGTATGTTGCAGCACACACAAAAGAGCTTTCGCAATAAAATTTAGATTAAAAAGAGGAATTTATACTTGAAAAGAGAAATCAGTGCCAAAATTCTGAATGACTCTGAACGCGTAATCATCCATCTTTTCACAGAATCACTGGTGCGCATATTTTCAAGAAAAAAATGTCACACTTTGATGCCATCTTCAGTCCCTATTTTGAAAAATTCTATAATTTAAAATTGTTCACTTATTCAAAAAGTCAACAATTTTCCGAAGTAGGGCGTTGTTTTACAAATTCACACAGTTGAAAGCAAATGAGAAATGGCACAGTACCAATGATTTCTCAATTCTTCCTAATGAAAAGAGCTGTAGCTCATGCTGCGCAGCTGAACCCAATTTAAATGTCAAAATTAATTTCAGCATCTTATAATCACTAATTTCACGAGAAACCAAGATTAACGTCGTGTAAAAATTATTGAGAGGTCCATTCTCGCTCTCTTTTCCAGAAAAACTGCCACTATATTTATCAATTTCAATCGGCAAAACTTCCTGCTCTGGTATATTGCAACTTTGCGCAAATTTATTTAAATCATCAAGCAATTTCCCGGAATTCAAAGAAAACTTGTGTCAAGCTTCGTACGCGGCAATTATCTCGGGAGATTTTAAACTCGTGTACAGTATATAGATTCTGAGAAACAATTACCTCATACGATTTCCTCCAAACTTTCGGACCTCCCCACACGAAACGGAGATGACAGAAAAAGATAATTGAAACCCAGATCCGATAAACGATAAAAAAAAGGGAAGGAGCACGATAACAGTCAGAAATTAAAAGAAAAATGCTCATTCCAAGACACAAGCTTTTAAAAATCTCCGTCATTTCTTTTGTGCGACTCGCTCCTTTTGTTCGTCTTTTTCCTCACGGAAGTATAATAGTCGTCAGCGTAAAAAAAAAACAAGGGGTCGTTTTGTTCTCTTATACAACATGCTGTTCTCAAAAAAGGGAGAAGGAAAAAAAAAAATTGGGTCGGCAGTGATTTTTCTCGTGGCACTTTTTCTTTCCCTCGGGTTTTCCCCACGTTATTTTTTGCCATTTCCTTCTTTTTCCTCGCATTTGAGACGAGAGTGAAATTCATCCCTTTTCCCCCGCGTGGGTCAGCTCGGAATTTGTCTTCTTCTCAAATTTTTTCCGAGCATGAATAATAAACAATCTTTCCGGCAAAAGCTAACAAACAGAAACCCAACAACAGAGACGCCTGTTATAGATCATTTCATCACCTCTAATTTGCACCAAAAAAAAGTTATTTGGGGCGTCTAAAAACCGACACGCTTATCAGAAGCACTAAAAGGGTGCTTGGAAGTTATTTCCTCCACTTTTTTTCCCTTTTCAACCTTATTTCCTGGGAGTAAAACAAATCGGATTTTTTCATGTGCCAACATTTTCCGATGAGAATCTTCGCTTGCTTTGTTCACGGAAGTTCCGACAATAATCAAAGATGGAGCGAAGTTTTTTCAGATGGCAATAAAAAAAAGCCTGTTTAACTTGCAAAAAACTGGAAAAACTAATAAGACAGCGCAGAATGAGCAGGAGGAAAACAAGAAAAATGCATCCAAGTGCCCTTTCATTTTCCACCTGTCAAACTTCGGTTGTTGATGGGCTGATCTCAGGGGTTTCTACGAATTCTTTCACAAAGTCCCACCTTTCCGTGACACAAAGTTAATATCTATGAGTTATAGGAACAACCCGAAATATTTTTTAGCAGCGCGAAAAATTATCGTCCAGTGTCATTAAAAAATGTTCCGTTCCCATTAAATTTTTATTTTCGAATTTTCCGCTGATTATTCTGGCTCAAATATGCCAACAATGATTTGTTTTTCTTTTTCATCACGTACGACACATCACTGAAGTAATTTTGACATCACTAGCAGTAATTCCACTAGGATCAAGCTCAGGTATCCTCGGGTGCCTTTTATAAAAGTTCTTCGCCCAAAAGAAAAAAAAAACACGGCGTTACATGATATTACGCGACTAGTTCGTCAGATCTATAAAAGCTTCGAAGAACACAAAAACAATTTTCGCGACTAGAATTTCGATCGACTATTGTTTCTTTTTTCCTTGGCAATTTCGATACAAAATCAGCAGCAACAACAAAAAAATCGAAATTATTGCCGAGCACAAAACGAAATGAATGAATGAAAGCAAAACGTCTCTTTGGTCGCCACGAAACATCCATGAACAACAAACGAAAGCTTTGGAATGCAGCAAAAGGATGGTCCGACCCCCATCATCAACCCCAGTTTTGTTTTCTCGCGTCTTCATGCATCATCCTTCGTCTATTTCTTCTTCTTCTTCTTCTTCTTCCTCGTTCTTGTTTTGTCTTGTTGTTCGATACTCTTCAGTAAGTCCACAAGTCTTCTAAAACGGTGAGCTTCTTGCCGAATACTTTTTCTTCGTAGTCCAGCAGCTGCTTCAGCATGGTGTCCGAAGGCATCAGGACTCGGCGCAGCTGCTTCAGGTAATAGAAGGCGTCCTCCAGGGTACACAGCAGGGTGGTCATAAGGTAGGCCATGATGACCGCGGGTCCTCGGTTCACTCCCTTCAAGAGACCAAAAAAAAAAAAATGAAACAAAACATACCCTCATGATCTACTATGTGCATTGTTGCATCATTGGTCAATGGACTTGAAT